CGGTTTCTTTAAATTCAAGTGATATAAAGTTTTTTTTAACTAGAATTAAATTTAATCGAAACCTATAAAGCTTTCCTGCAAGAAAAATCCAATCTTTAGTAGACTTAGAGTAAATCAGAATTGATTGCTTGTTGAACTAATACTGCAGGAAAACCTACCGCGGGCGACCTCTCCTACTAGGAACACAAGACTAGAAGACGCCAAACTTTGTTCAAGGAGTGCAAGAATGTCTGTCAAAGAAGTTAGCACTGCATGAGCTCTGAATGCTGCATAGGTTAGGTATACAGCTATTTTGAGAAAGGTTGTCAGAAAAGTGCACGCCACAATCCCGAAAGGTATTGTGGGTGGTTTTGAGTTCACCGTTGTTCAAAGAAATTTGAAAGAATGGCACGAGAGGCCATGGACATGTGTTTGAGAGTGCTAAAGGAAAGTAAGATAGAAGATTCGACAGGTACAGTGTCAGGAACAGCGTATTGATCATATCCCATATTACCTTTCGGGATTGTCGCAGGCACATTTTTTCCGACAACCTTTCTCGAAATAGCTGTAAATGTCAAGCGTGCAATTGTTTTTCTCCTCTGATTTTTTTAAACTCTTCTGACACAGAACTCAAACACGTGCTTTCAAGGATCCCCTGGCCTCCCTGGACGTAACGGAGTCAATGGACATAACGGGTTACCAGGCTGCGAAGGCCGAGATGGTGCTAAAGGTGAAAACTGCGTGGTAGGTCCCCCTGGACCAGGCCGTGAGAAAGGAGAAATGGGACCAAGTGGAACAGCCGCTGATCACAGAAACTGGAAACAGTGCGCGTGGAAGAACAGCGACGGTCGTGACACGTGTTGAAGATCAGAAGACCTGTTTGCAAGCGATTATTCAAATCGCGTGCTATGTGCTACCAAAAAGGATGTTAACCAAACGTGTCAAACAGTCAGTCGGTTCTGGCCAATAGGAGCTTGCATCAGAATCTGAGTGCACAGTGGGTGCCGTGGAACAGCGATCCCAAAGTTTGCCTACAGGCTCTTCCCCTTTCTATTCCCCGGCGATTTTTTCACCCTTTCCCCAATTAGAGAGCCTGTTCTTAGGCTAGCAAATTAAACCGCAATGCGTTCGACTGGGCTCATATGAATAAGCCTTACTTACACTCGTACATCAAAATATTTGCTCAAGACTAGTTCCGTGAATATCTTGCTCACGGTGCAGAAAATTCAATTACACAACTGTATTGTATTTTTATAATATCATTGACACTTCTATTAAACAAAGCAAACAAAGTCAAAATATGGCAGATTTATCGGCTGGTTATGATCACAAACAAGAAAATATTCGCAGTAATTAATTCACCGAAATGCTACTTTGCTTTTGTTTTTCATCGTAGTTCAGTTGACCAAAAAAACCTTTTTAACTCAGTTTTCTATCCATTTCATTTTTTCGCGATAACTGAAGGCTATCTATTTCATGTTTCATGGAGGCGTTCACGAACTGCGGACATTATTTGTAACCGCTGTAGTTACTCTTCAATGAGGTAAGTCAACAATCGACACTGTGATTAATAGTTCGATTACAGACGAGTGTAGTAAGGTCAATCCTGCATGTGTATTCAAATCATGCTTCAGTACGATGTATTGATAAATTGTATTGACAGGAATGTTTCCTGCTCACTTTCTCTCCAACCAATAACGTGCTGATATCATCGAGACAGCTAAACTTAATGGACAGATTTCATAGAAGAAACATCGCATTTGAGTCACAATTTCCATTGAACGGGAGCCGCCTTCGTTAATTCCTACAGTGCCAAAATCATAAGCGCGTACAGCTCGAAAACTGAACTTAAGAAAATTAAGGAATCGATTCATAGGCCACTTGTATCCCTCAATTCAACAGCTGTTGTCCAGAGAGTGGAGTATGATGATTTGAAACTGCTCCTGAAAGATTCAGCGTCCGTTTAAAATTTATGCACTGATTTTCTCGTTTTCAAGTATGTCGTCGATAATTCCAAGACAGAATTTGAGGTGCTAAATATTATCCAATGAGCAGGGTGTCTAGGATCGAATCTGTTTGAAAACCCAAAAGATGTTTTTGTTATCACCAGAATTCTTCTGGTAGAGGCATGGGTCTTGATAAAAATTACCGTACTCAGTATATATGTTACAGGTCAAAATTAAAATCAGGTTAAAATTTTTTAACCTAGGTTGATTCTCAATTTCTTTTGTCTCCCAGCCCTAATTCATGAATAATTAGGGCTAGGGGACAAAGAAAATTGAGAATCAACCTAGGTTAAACAATTTAAACCTGAATTTTATTTTGATCTGTAACATATATAACAAGCTGCTTATATATTACGATAAAAAAGACACATGAACTCTGACTGATGAGGAAAAATCGCTCAAAATCTATTTATAATTAATACCTAATAATTCCTTAGAACTCTTGGAGAATGAGGTGATGTATTTGATGTTCACAATAACGACAACAGGCTTACCATCTTCTGTTTGTGTTGCTTCGATTATTAACAATTTCCCCGCACAGAAGCAACATTCCTTTGAATAGATCAAACCGCTGAGAAACAGGACCACGATGTAGAAGTTTATTTTATGCTTTGCAGACCGCAATAGTTACATGCTTGGCGCAAGCATCCGTGACTTGAGGCCTCGGAGATTGATCCACGAAGAAAGATTATTGCCCAAATCAACGATAAGAAAAAATAAAATTTACTTTTGGCCAGTTTTGATTACCTTTTTGAGAAAACATGATTGTAACCATTTCATGACGAAAACTCTATTTGGGAGCTAGATTTCACTTTCTGCGCTCAGGAAAAGTTAAACTTATCAATACTAAAATAACTTAAGGTTGAACGAGGAAAAAATTGTTTTACCTATTGGTAAGCCCCCGCTGGTCACTCATTCAGCCGCACTTAGCAACTCTGCCAGTATTAAAACAGTCTCAGGTTATAAGAATGCTCGTCTGGTTTTTTAGTTTGCCTGAACGGAAGCTTCAAAGCCATGAAGCAATAAGGATCTGCGATACATCGCAAATAATAATATACAAAATATACACGGCCTCTTTTATAAGTATATTTTTATCAGACAGTGAAATGGCGCTGTTTGAAGTACAATAGCAAATTATACTGTCACGGTTTTTATAAGTAAAGAAAGCTCCCTAAACCACCATAACAAAATCAAATGTTGGAAAATTTGGGTTTACCTTAATGAATTGTCTAAGTCCTTGCTCAAATTTAAACGTTTATTAGCGGAGCTCCACGCGCGCGAAGCGGAGCACCATGGGTAAGAAAATTTGGTTATCTAACCATCCGAGAAATTTTGGTAATCACGTGACCGTACGCCCGACCGTCCGTCCGCACCACAGGAATACCAATGAAAAATAACTCGGCCAACAGGTATGGCAACCGAAATGCAACTCGAGTTTATTTTGGCGGGAAATCGCATAGCCACCCGCGTCCTGTGAAGCAGAGACAACTAAAGAGTCAATAAAGAGGAAAACGGAAAGCGGAAATTGTTTCTGTATCCTTGTTGTCTAAAGTAAGATTAATTGTCATGTCCACAAATTTGGAATATAGAGAAAAAATAAAGTGGGCGACAGGCAGGCGAATTTCAACGAGAAAAAAAAAGCGACAGACAGCTAGAGCGGAAGATAAGGAGCTATTTGTTGGAAGAACAACATGAAAATTTTTAAGGGCAGTGAGAAAAGGAGAAATCCTAGCGGCCACCAAAGTAAAAATGAGCGAGTGAAAAGAATTGAACAACAACAGGTACGACATTTTTCCATAAAACGTGTAACTAGGAAGTTCACGTTGTGGTCGTGCAAAACGATGGCAAAAAAAGTATGTACAAAAAAAATGTGCTACACCTGCAAAGTTGTTTTTTTGCTAATTAGGCCTATTGTTTTTTTTTTTTTCACCGTTCTGGTTGCGTTCGCCGCTTAGCATAACATGATTTTATATTTTCTATGAGCAAACTATAAATATTATCGAGAGCTTCGCTTTTAGCCCTGGCTAAATCTATATATTATCAATTTTATTCTGGTGACAAAGAGAAAACCTGCTCAAGAGCTTGAATTACGTGAAATACGAACATTTATTTTAATTTCACTAATTTGCTCGCCTGGCTTTAATCGAGATTTATCGTTCAATAATCGTCACCGTACACACTTATCCTCCTGCTCGCTGTTATTGCACTAAGTTGTTCAAGGTCAGTAAATGTGGCAGTCGGTCAGCACATGCCATTGTGTTCACACAACAAGAAAAATTTCGTTACAATTAATTCAAAAAGTGAACTTTTTATCCTTCGTCTCCAACTTCACACAAAACAGAACACCACAAGACTTGTGCAGTTGGAGTTCAAAGCACGCTTTCCTCAGTTCGTAACTTGTTTTGCGTTTTTCTTGTACCCTCAAGATGAAAGAAGGAAATCTATTTGTTTGGTGTCTACTTTTTCTGTCGGTGTCGTCCACCGCTTTCGCTAAGGTAAGATAAATCAGCGAACAGAATTGACTTTTCTTAAACTACGCAAAAAAGAGCGAAGAACGAATCTGATTGAAAGACGGTTTAAGTTGTTGAGTCTGTTAGTCATTAAGGCTTACAAAAATTAGCGGCGAGATTTTTCCATGCATCAGCGTAAGTGGAAACGAAAATTTCATATTTGAAATACTTTTGAGATTAGAGCTACGTGTCGAGCTTTTATTTTCTAAAAATGCATATTTTTAAAATAGAGTTTGAAACCACAGCTTCCAAATTATAATTGGCACTCCTGTCTTCCGCTCAAAGAACGACATTGGGTCAATCAAGTCTGTCCACGAGAGGATTTTTTACAAAACGCACATCTCTTGTGCTAATGTCACTTCTTCGAGAGAGAACAAGAGAGAATGATGGCTCTAAGAATCTATAAAAGGCAGATGATTGGCTGATCTTCTTCTATACTTAATGTCAATCATTTATCACTGACCTGAACACAAATTTTGCTCAAAAGTGCGAGGTACGAGTGCGTATACTATTATTTTTAAACATTTGTATAACTTATAACTCAAGCACGTGCTTGCAAGGATCCCCTGGCCTCCCCGGACGTAACGGAGTCAATGGACATAACGGGTCACCAGGCCGCGACGGCCGAGATGGTGCTAAAGGTGAAAAGGGCGTGACAGGTACACCAGGATCACTTGGTGCGAAGGGAGAAATGGGAGCAAGTGGGACAGACACTGATCACAGGAACTGGAAACAGTGCGCGTGGAAGAGTAGCGATGGTCGTGATATTGGACTGATCAAGGCTTGTTAATTTATCTGTGATCAAAGCTATAGTTCAGTTAGCATAACAAATAATCGTCATATAAAAATATCATCCCAGCCTTTGTGTTTCACCTGACTTTTTAGTTATTGTTGAACCTTGTCCATGCAGTGTTATATCCGCATAGGATAAAATTAGGTTATTTAAACGAAATGTAGGGTGTATGATGGGCTCCTGATAATGACAATTTCCCTGAAAATAATTGTTCAGAACTAATTTGTTGTTGCAGGATTGTCAGTTCGCTAAAACCAAGGATGACACTGCTCTCCGGGTTGTTTACCAGGGAAACGTCGCTGTTGGAGGTTGTAACAACTGCTGCAAGCGATGGTTCATCACTTTCAATGGAGCGGAGTGCAGTGGTCCCCTGCCTATTGACGTAGTGCTGTGGATCCGAAATAAAGACGAAGACAACTACAGACCCGGGTTCATTGAGGGCTACTGTAACAACATACACAAGGGCAAAATCCGAGTTGGAATCAACATTGGAAATTTTGCAGGATATGGAAATTCTGATGGTAACACAGGCTGTATTTCAGTGTCCCGTTTGATCATTGAAGAAGTCCCTCGGTCCCAGTAACAAGTTGGCAACCGTCACGTGATTATTAGTTATGACGCTTAAAGATTCTCCAGATAAATGATTTCAAAGTGGAAAAAAACTAAGAATTAAGGACTTTTATGACATTTGCATGTAAAGCAGTTCAGTTTAAATGCCACAATAAACTCAGCACGTGACTACTGGTGAATGAAACTGTTATTTTTGCAGAACCAACCATCCTCAAGATTAAGCTCCATCCATCCTCAGGGTGATCAAATATGTACCCATCCTTAAGGTTATTAAATATGCGCCCTTCTTTAACCACGCTCCTTCTCACAGAACTTGACTCTTGAGAACTATGACTCTTGTGGTACGTTAAAGAACCCCGAGGGATGCAACAAGCTCTGTCAGTTGCCCGGCCTAGTGTATATGTAAGTGTCATGCGGTTGTAGGCAAGGGTATAGAGGATTACCTTGCATGAGAAACATAATTAGCATTCAATCGGTTAATTGTTTAAGTTATGCGTGATCGCATAGCCTGATATAAACACCAAAAGGGTGATGCAAACCCGCGACGGACTCTCAGGCAAAAACGCCTCTCAGCCAATCGGAGCGCGCGTATAAATGGATATATAAACTCCTTGAGATACAGCGAAAAGGTTGCGAGGTAAGGCCTTGGACATAAACTACAAACCGGTCGACTGAACTCACACTTGCCTTTAAGTAAACAAAGCGAAAAAAATTAAGACACTGCGTATTTATCGTGAAGGATCGTCTGGTCATGGCTAAATACCAGGAAAATTTCATAGTAATTATTTTAAAAACTGTAACTTGACCTTTGTTTTTCTTCAAAGATGGTTAACCAAAAGCAAACCATTGGCTTTTTTTTTGTTTTTTTTTTAACTCCCCACTCTTTCTCGATAACTGAGGCTATTAATTTCACATGGTTTCTGGAGAAGTACAGGAACTATCTTCAATAATCAATATACTCTTCAATCGGCCTTGTGATTAATTTCCATTTTTTATAACGAATGTGTTGTATTAACAATCCTGGTTCATCCAATCACGCAGTGCAGGGTATTAATGAATTGCATTGATATATGATTTCTGCCCATTTTTTCACCAACGGAAATTCTTTAAGGGACTAATTTCCCATTTTAATTTGTAAAAAAGGTACAAACTAATCTCGTACCCAGTTCTTTCAGCATAAGACAGAGTGAGACCTGAGTTCGGGATAAGGCACACACTGTTTTCAATAAAAGGAGTTCTTATTTTCTCCAACTGCACGATGTTCTGATCACGTAAACTGCGAGGCTTCTGAAGGGGGAAATGAGAAGAAAGGCGCCCGAGGGAAAGGGACGCTCTTTATGTACCTGCGCGCATCAATTCCCACAGTTCCCTTCCCTCCTAACGCCTCCCACGTGCACGTACGCAACAAATCACGTTAGACTACGAGCTAGTTAACCAACAGCCTGCGAAAGCATCCGTTTCTCCTTCGCTCTTCGCCGCTGGGGACGTTTCGCGAGGAGAAGAGCGAAGGAGAAACGGATCTTTCGCAGGCTAGTTAACCAACAACTGATTCGCTAGACATGTAAAAAATGGTTGCAATATTGCGTGTAAGGTTTTATCGCCAACAAAAACGATCAAAGAATACATATACTTGATTTAATCTTATATTATATTCATTTTATTTATTTATAGTGTCCACAATTAGCTTTTAGCTATATACCTTGACACTTTAATAAAGTTTATGTATGTATGTATGTAAAATACCCAAAATTAAACACTGTTGTCAACAGAGTGTAAAAACACAGTTCCTCCGCTCTTTTGGTGGATGATGTCTTAGTAGATTACTGAACAAGTCGAACAAAAAAATGCTAGATGTTAACTTTAGCGTTTTAGTCAGTAATCCATCATTCTCTTTAGTGAAAACGTGCATCGGCTATCAACGTGCGTCAGCTAAGCTTAAGTCAAACTTTTGACTCATGCGCATGGTGTTATAATAACTCGGCCTCTTCCACCTCGGTTAAAGCAAGATTAAGAGATTAAGCTGTGATCAAGTTACCGTACGTGTTTCTCTTCACAACACGTAGCTTTCGTTGAAATCGATCGATACAAACATTGAATTTATGTTCTCATCTTCCACTGCACTCAATACAGAACCCCAAGACTTGTGTTAGAGTTTGAGGCCTGTTTTCCCAGTTTCCACTTCTCTTTCGTCTCTCGTGTAACCTCCAAATGGAAGTAAGAGGTGTTGTGGGATGCTTTCTATTCTATCTGTTGATATCTTCCAAGTGCTCAACTGATGACGCATCCTCTATCGCCAAGGTAAGATTTCCTCAGTGGGGCTAGTAAAATAGTAATTGAGAAAAATTCGACTGAATTATACATTTGCATTAAACTGTACAAATTTCCCACTGTTTCAGCGCAGTATAGAGAACCTGAGTTATATGGAGTCGAAAGAAATAATGCTTCTTTCCCTTTTTAGATATGATTTGAATCGTTGTTTATTTATCAGATTAACCACGAACGTTTGCCCCACTTTAATTTTTTCATGTTCTAACATACGTAGATAGAGATAAAGATAAGTCTTCCGCTGTAATTTTTCGCTTGATCATGAATAGATTGGCGAACGCTAGTGCTATGCGCGCAAAGCACGATATTCTCACGATCCACGATCACTACCCTCCACGAAGGGGTTTATTGAAGATGAAACCTTGGAGTGATTCGATTGCAGGACCATGATAACCTCGACAACAATGTAAATAAGGCTCATGATCGGTTATGTGTTTTAAGGGGACAACTGGCAAGTTATTCTTGCTCGAAATATCAAAAAGTCTTAACTTTTCATCAGTAGGATGCCTTAAATGTGTTCACATCTCAGTTTTTTTTACGTTTTCGGGATCATTCAGGGCAAAAGTATAAAAGTGATAGCACTTCCTAAGAAAGCGGATTCAGTATAGTTTGACTAAAATGGCATACTTTTTTAATTTCTAATTCCTTTCTTAAAACTGATGTGAACAGAACTCTAGAACCTGTTTGCAAGGATCACCTGGCCTCCCCGGACGTAACGGAGTCAATGGGCATAATGGGTCACCAGGCCGCGACGGACGAGATGGAGCTAAAGGTTAGAAGGGCGTGGCAGGTCCCCCTGGATCACGTGGTGAGAAGGGAGAAATGGGACCAAGTGGAACAGACACTGATCACAGGAACTGGAAACAATGCGCGTGGAAGAGCGACGACGCCAGTGATATTGGACTGATCAAGGTAAGATGATTTTAAAATTAGCGCCATCAACGGCTCCAGTCAACTTTGGTTTTGTTAGATACTAAGAATGTGCATTTACAAAGGATGGTATATTCTTGTCTAATGGTATCCTTACGGGATGAAAAATGTCGTTTAAGTAAACAAGAAAACCAATAATGGAGTTTTGATTTTTTGTTGCAGGATTGTTCCCTCCATAAAACCAAGGATGATACTGCCCTCCTTGTTGTTTTCCAGGGAAACTTCTATTTGACAGGATGTGGCGGCTGCTGCAAGAGATGGTTCATCACTTTTAACGGCGCCGAGTGCAGTGCTCCCCCTGCCTATTGACGTAGTGCTGTGGATCGGAAATACTGGAGAAAACAACCACAGACCCGGGTTTATCGAGGGCTACTGTAACAACATTCACAAGGGCAAAATCCAAGTTGGAATCAACATTAGAAATTGTGTTGGGTATGGGAACTCCAATGGTTACACAGGCTGGAATTCAGTGTCCCGTTTGATCATTGAAAAAGTTCCTCCGTCCCAGTAGCAAGTTGGAAACCATCACGTGTTTTTTTCATGTCGCTTAAACTTTGTTGCGCATTAGTTGTTAAAGTAATCTTAAGAGGAAAAGGGATAAAAATAAGGCGCTTTTTTAAAATCACATTTCATGTCAACCAGGTCAGCTTAAAACCCTTAATATATCAAGCATGTGACTATGAAGGTATGAAGATGCCTTTTCATGTTAAATAAACATTAAAACGTCGATATTGTGGTTTTTTTTTTAATCGCGATGGAATTTTTGAAATCTTGCGCACATCATGGTTCTTGTTTGCGTAAACACTCCTCTTCCATTTTCAGTGCTGCGAAGGAGTCTGGAGAGGAAGGTATTGAAACGCAACTTTTACGTCAGTTCTAAGCAAAAGTTGTTAATCGTTTGATGACAATGGCAAAAATATCATAATTTTCAAGCTTTCATTCAAAGCGATTCAAAAGAAATTAATTTCTTAAAAAGCGGCCACTGTTTATATATTCACTGCGCTATTTAAAACATTACAATCTGATCCCAAAAAGCATGCCTTCAATCAAAATATGGAAAATCAATTTTAGGTGACTGGACCAATCTCACTCCTAATGGGCATTCCGCAGAAACCGTTCCCTTCGTTTATGCCCTAAATGCCATAATCGTCTTTTTTCGAAAGACAAAAAAAAAAACAAAGAAACAAACGGCTAGGATCTCCAAATAATCGATTTTTCCACGGTAGCTCACACACTCATAACACCATTTGAGTAAGAACTTCTACCCTTAAGACAATTAAAAGGAAGAAAGATGAGTGATATTCAAGTGCCTTAAACAATGTATTGTGCTTAGTAAAAAAAAAATTAGTTTGCCTTTATCCTACTGAAGTACAAAAAAACTAAGGCCCTGAAATCATGAACATTAAAATGATAAAATGTGGCAGGAAACATAACACTTGCATATTTACGTTAGTTTGTCACATACACCGATTTACGATCGATAACCAACCAAGCAGCTTATGGAAAACCAAGCGAATAGTTAACATTTTTCTTAAATTCAGTCATCGTTGATCTAAATAACTCGTACAAGTGAAACCGTTGAAACCAGCCACAACAAAAAAATTTAACATGAGGAAGAGATTCCTTGACATAAAGTCGTTGATAATTATGTATTCCTGTGCACTTTTATGAGAGCTAACACAGCCCAGAAAATGGCTTATTCGATGGGCCCTATACTACTTCAATCAGCTTTCATCGCAGTGTAGGTGGAAACCAGAGTCCGGGTAGATCATTGATCGAGATGCAGGTTCTCTTCAATTACCTTGTCTACATCACGTCATAGTTATAACTGCAACTAGAGCAATGAAAGGTTTGTGTATGTTTTGTTATATACGGATGACTAAAATGCCTTAATACTAGATAATACCACGCCTCGAGAAAGATTGCAGCCAGCTGCAGATAGAAAAGTGAACAAAAGTCTGATAAAAGACGGTTTCTTTAAATTCAAGTGATATAAAGTTTTTTTTTACTAGAATTAAATTTTATCGAAACCTATAAAGCTTTCCTGCAAGAAAAATCCAATCTTTAGTAGACTTATAGTAAATCAGAATTGCTTGGTTGTTGAACTAATACTGCAGGAAAACCTACCGCGGGTGGCCTCTCCTACTAGGAACACAAGACTAGAAGACGCCAAACTTTGTTCAAGGAGTGCAAGAATGTCTGTCAAAGAAGTTAGCACTACATGAGCTCTGAATGCTGCTTAGGTTAGGTATACAGCTATTTGGAGAAAGGTTGTCGGAAAAGTGCACGCCACAATCCCGAAAGGTATTGTGGGTGGTTTTGAGTTCACTGTTCTTCAAAGAAATTTGAAAGAATGGCACGAGAGGCCATGGACATGTGTTTGAGAGTGTTAAGGAAAGTGACATAGAAGATTCGACAGCTACAGTGTCAGGAACAGCGTATTGACCAATCATATCCCATATTACCTTTCGGGATTGTCGCAGGCACATTTTTTCCGACAACCTTTCTTGAAATAGCTGTAAATGTCAAGCGCGCAATTGTTTTTCTCCTCTGATTTCTTTAAACTCTTCTGACACAGAACTCAAACACGTGCTTTCAAGGATCGCCTAGCCTCCCTGGACGTAACGGAGTCAATGGACATAACGGGTTACCAGGCCGCGAAGGCCAAGATGGTGCTAAAGGTGAAAACTGCGTGATGGGTCCCCCTGGACCAGGCCGTGAGAAAGGAGAAATGGGACCACGTGGAACAGCCACTGATCACAGAAACTGGAAACAGTGCGCGTGGAAGTACAGCGACGGTCGTGACTCGTGTTAAAGATCAGAAGACCTGTTTACAAGCGATTATTCAAATCGCGTGCTATGTGCTACCAAAAAGGCAATGTTAACCAAACGTGTCAAAAAGTCAGTCGGTTCTGGCTTGCATCAGAATCTGAGTGCACAGCGGGTGCCGTGGAACAGCGATCCCAAAGTTTGTCTACAGGCTCTTCCCTTTCTATTCCCCGGCGATTTTTTCACCCTTTCCCCAATGAGAGAGCCTGTTCTTAGGCTAGCAAATTAAACAGTAATGCGTTCGACTGGGCTCATATGAATAAGCCGTACTTACATTCGTACATCAAAATATTTGCTCAAGACTAGTCGAGGCCACTTCTGTGAATATCTGTTCGTACATCATGCTCACAGTGCAAATATTTAATTACACAACTGTATTGTATTTCTATAATATCATTGACACTTGTATTAAACAAAGCAAACAAAGTCAAAATATGGCAGATTTATCGGCTGGTCATGATCACAAACAAGAAAAAATTCGCAGTAATAAATTCGCCGAAATGCTACTTGGCCTTTGTTTTTCATCGTAGTTCAGTTGACCAAAAAAAACCTTTTTGACTCAGTTTTCTATCCATTTCATTTTCTCGCGATAACTGAAGGCTATCTATTTCATGTTTCATGGAGGCGTTCACGAACTGCGACAGTAGCCCATAACTGACTGCGAACATTATTTGTAACCGCTGTAGTCACTCTTCAATGAGGTAAGTCAACAATCGACACTGTGATTAATAGTTCGATTACAGACGAGTGTAGTGAGATCAATCCTGCAGTGTATTCAAATCATGCTTCAGTACGGTGTATTGATAAATTGTATTGACAGGAATGCTTTCCTGCTCACTTTCCCTCTAACAAATGACGTGCTGATATCATCGAGACAGCTAGACTTAATCGACAGATTTCATAGAAGAAACATCGCGTTTGAGTCACAACTTCCACAACGGGAGCCGCCTTCGTTAATTCCTACAGTGCCAAAATCATGAGTGTTAATAAGCGCGTACAGCTCGAAAACTGAACTTAGGAAAATTAAGGAATCGATTCATAGGCCACTTGTATCTCTCAATTCAACAGCTGTTGTCCAGAGAGTGGAGTATGATGATTTGAAACTGCTCCTGAAAGATTCAGCGTCCGTTTAAAATTTATGCACTGATTTGCTCGTTTATATGTCGTCGATCATTCCAAGACAGAATTTGAGGTACTAAATATTATCCAATGAGCAGGGTGTCTAGGATCGAATCCAATTGAAAACCGCGCAAAAGATGTGTTTGTTATCACCAGAATTCTTCTGGTCGAGGCATGGGTCTTGATAAAAATTACCATACTTAGTATATATGTTACAGGTCAAAATTAAAATCAGGTTAAAATTTTTTTGCCTAGGTTGATTCTCACTTTCTTTTGTCTCCCAGCCCTAATTCACGAATAATTAGGAGTAGGAGACAAAGAAATTGAGAGCCAACCTAGTTTAAACAATTTAACCTGAATTTTATTTTGATCTGTAACATATGTAACAAGCTGCTTATATATTACGATAGAAAAGAGACTTGAACTCTGACTGATGAGGAAAAATCGCTCAAAATCTATTTATAATTAATATCTAATGGTTCCTTAGAGCTCTTGGAGAATGAGGTGATGTATTTGCTGTTCAATGGTCATTCTGTGCAATAACGATCTATCTGTTTGTGTTGCTTCGATTATTAACAATTTCCCCAGAAGCAACATTCCTTTGAATAGATCAAAACGCTGAGAAACAGGACCACAATGTTGAAGTTCATTTTTTATTTAGCGTGTGCTTTGCAGTCCGCAATAGTTACATGCTTGGCGCAAGCATCCGTGACTTGAGGCCTCGGAAATTGATCCACGAAGAAAGATTATTAACCAAATCAACGATAAGAAAAAATAACGTTCACTTTCGGCCAGTTTTGATTACTTTTTTGAGAAAACATGATTGTAACCATTTCATGACGAAAACTCTATTTGGGAGCTAGACTTCACTTTCTGCGCTCAGGAAAAGTTAAACTTATCAATACTGAAATAACTTAAGGTTGAAAGAGGAAAAAATTGTTTTACCTATTGGTAATCCCCCGCTGGTCACTCATTCAGCCGCACTTTTAGAAACTCTGCCAGTATTAAAACAGTCTAAAGTTATAAGAATGCTCGTCTGGTTTTTTAGTTTGCCTGAACGGAAGCTTGAAAGCCATGAAGCAATAAGGATCTGCGATACATCGCAAATAATAATATACAGGGCCTCTTTTTTATATTATATTTTTATCAGACAGTGAAATGGGGCTGTTTGAAGTACAATAGCAAATTATACTGTCACGGCTTTTATAAGTAAAGAAAACTCCCTAAAATACCATAACAAAATCAAATGTTAGAAAATTTGGGTTCACCTTAATGAATTGTCTAAGTCCTTGCTCAGATAGACCTTGTCATGGTTTTCGACGCCATCTTGACGAGTAGGCAAACGTGTGAGAAATTACAGTGGTTGTATGAGAATCTAATATCGAATGATTTCCGTAAAACGGCTGTTCTGAAAAAAATATGACTTGTAAAATAAAGCTACAAAACGAAGGATTGTACTTAAAATTTTGGGGGGGCGTACGTGTGCTTAAATTTCTCTCGAGGCTTGCTTTAGATTTTCCACATATTCGTCTCTAATTTTTCCCAGGACTTTCTTACAGACAAATGTATAGAAAATTTTAAAAAGTGGTTCTAGGTCTTCTAGCGCATCTAACGCCCTCAATTTTTTTCGGTAGATTCCTTAGGAGTGAAGCTTTAGCTTACAATTCATATTTTATTCAGAACCGCCATTCTACGGAAATTATTCGACATTAGGTTCTCATACCAACACTGTAATTTCTTACGCGTTTGCCTACTCGTCAAGATGGCGTGAAAAGGTCTATTTAAACGTTTATTAACAATTTTATTCTGGTGACAAAGCGACGAAACCTGCTCAAGAGCTTGAATTTTGTGGAATACGAGCATTTATTTTAAGTTCACTAGTTTAATTTTGCTCGCCTGGCTTTAATCAAGATTCATCGAGCAAAGATGTTTTCATACTTGAAACGTTCAATAATCGTGATCGCACATACTTATCCTCCTGCTCGCTGTTATTGCACTAAGTTGTTCAAGGTCTGTAAACGTGGCAGTCGGTCAGCACATGCCATTGTGTTCACACAACAAGAAAAATTTCGTTAAAATTAATTCAAAAAGTGAACTTTTATCCTTCGTCTCCAACTTCACACAAGACAGAACACCACAAGACTTGTGCAGTTGGAGTTCAACGCACGCTCTCCTCAGTTCGTAACTTGTTTTCCGTTTTTCTTGTACCCTCAAGATGAAAGAAGGAAATCTATTTGTTTGGTGTTTACTTTTTCTGTCGATGTCGTCCACCGCTTTCGCTAAGGTAAGATAAATCAGCGCACAGAATTGACTTTTCTTAAAATATGCAAAAAAGAGCGAAGAGCGAATCTGACTGAAACACGGGTTAAGTTGTCGAGTCTGTTAGTCGTAAAGGCTTACAAAACGTAGCAGCGAGATTTTTCCATGCATCAGCGTAAGTGGAAACGAACATTTCAGATTTGAAATACTTTTTAGATTAGGATTACGTGTCGACCTTTTATTTTCTTAAATTCATATTTTTAAAAGAGAGTTTGAAAACACAGCCTCCAAATTATAATTAGCACTCCTGTCTTCCGCTCAAAGAACGACATTGGGTAAATCAAGTCTGTCCACGAAAGGATTTTTTACAAAACGCACATCTCTTGTGCTACTGTCACTTAGAGAGAACAAGAGAGATTGATGACTCTAAGAATATATAAAAGGCAGATGATTGGCTGAGCTTCTTCTATACTTAATGTCAATCATTTATTACTGACCTGAACCCAAATTTTGCTAAAAAAAGAAAAAAAGGTACAAATGAATATACTATTAATTTTTGAACATTTATGTAACACAGAACTCAAACACGTGCTTGCAAGGATCCCCTGGCCTCCCCGGACGTAACGGAGTAAATGGACACAACGGGTCCCCAGGTCGCGACGGCCGAGATGGTCCTAAAGGTGAAAAGGGTGTGGCAGGCGCCCCTGGATCACGTGCTGCGAAGGGAGAAATGGGAGCAAGTGGAACAGATACTGATCACCGGAATTGGAAACAGTGCGCGTGGAAGAACAACGACGGTCGTGATATTGGACTGATCAAGGCTTGTTAATTTATCTGTGATCAAAGCTATAGTTTAGTTAGCATAACAAATACTCGTCATATGGACATATCATCCCAGCCACTGTGCTTCACCTGCCTTTTTAGTCATTGTTGAACGTTGCCCATGCAGTGGTATATCCGCATAGGATAAAATTAGGTTATTTAAACGAAATGTAGGGTGTATGATGGGCTCCTGATAATGACAATTTCCCTGAAAATAATTGTTCAGAACTAATTTGTTGTTGCAGGATTGTCAGTTCGCTAAAACCAAGGATGATACTGCCCTCCGTGTTGTTTACCAGGGAAACTTCTATTTGGGAGGGTGTGGCAGCTGCTGTAAGCGATGGTTCATCACTTTCAATGGAGCCGAGTGCAGTGGTCCCCTGCCTATTGACGCAGTGCTGTGGATCCGAAATAAAGACGAAGACAACCACAGACCCGGGTTCATTGAGGGCTACTGTAACAACATACACAAGGGCAAAATCCGAGTTGGAATCAACATTGGGAATTGTGCAGGATATGGGAATTCCAATGGTCAAACAGGCTGGAATTCATTTTCCCGTTTGATCATTGAAGAAGTTCCTCGGTCCCAGTAACAAGTTGAAAAGCGTCACGTTATTATTAATGACGTAATTAAGGGCTCTAATAACATTTTCATGTAAAGCAGTTCAGCTTCAAAACCACAATAAACTCTGCACGTGACTACTGATGTATGAATAAGTCATTTTTGTATAAGCACCTATCCAGTTTAAGGTTATTAGCAATGCGCCCTTTCTCACGTTTATTAAATAAATGTCCACCCCTAAGACATTAAGATTTTTTTTCAATTGTCCATCCTTTATAAAATAGGTATCCAGCATAAAGGTTTTCCAGTAAGCACCCATCCTTAAGGATATTAAATATATGCCCTTCTTTAAGGATATGTAATTTTCATGTAATAGGCTATTTCCGAATTCCAGATGTGCTCACTCTCAAAACGAGGCTGAGTGCAAAACCTTTCTTGTGAAAATAAGTCTTATTTGCATGATACTTAAAAATCATTTTCATATGAATAGCTTCGCACTTAGCCTCGCTTTGAAGCAGAGACTTGGGCAACTCGGTCACCATTTCACATAGACCATAATGCACCTGGTATATATAAATGGGTTTTTGAAAACCGGGTTAGCAAAAATATCAACTCATTCTACTTCTTAGCAATTTCAAACAATAAAACTCAATCAAAGGCCGATTAAAAGAATTTATCTGACGCCAGGCAGTAAGTTAATGGTCCCTAGAAGCATTCCAACAAGTCCAAATTTAAAATGACGCAAATTTTAGAACATTTATTCAGTAATCTGACTTCGCGAAGTTTCAAACTGATGTCATTTCAGTCTAGAAATTTTGGAGTTGAGTGAACTGCAGTGAAAAAGTGCCTGGTTAAGGCTTACATAACAATTTAAATAGTTAGCAAAACAATACTTTTCTCGCGGTCCGACAAAGAACAGGATTCCGCATGAAATAGACAACAAACTGAATGAAACATTAGTGCACAAATTATCACCTTCTTATCTGGAAAAACCGGCCTTTGGTTCAATGTCATTAGAACCCGCTGAAACTAGACCTACAATAGATCCAATTTTTCTGAGTGGAGAGTTGCTTTTCCAAGGTACAATCAGCTAAGCTAAACACCGACGAAATAATATTAATGGCTGGCACAGAATATTTTGGCGAAACTGCAATTCAACCACGTGATCATATACCTGTCAACACCATGCGGAAATCACACAATCACACACATTCGCGGCACTGATAAGACTATCCACGACGACGCATAATCTTCTCACGTTTAAAATAAGCGAAATATCATCGAATAACTCGGAAAAACTCAGCCCATTGGCAGATAAACACCTCAGGACGTTTCTCTTACACAGTCGTCTTATTCAAGTTCCCGGATGTAGACTCACACGGTCGGCGGACCACCTTAGTCTTGTTTTCACACCAAGTCAAATTTCACCTGCAATTTTGCTCTCACCTGATTCGTTTGACTCCTAAGAGCCTGTTTCCGAGTCCCGAGGCCAAAGACTTAGTGGTCACCTTAGAAAAGCGAACAATATCGTACCTTTCTGTCTCAGCCCGGATCAGGGTGATTGATCCGTTTAGCCAAATAAAACAAGAATTGAACCTCCCAAAAAAAAAAAAAGGAAGAAGAAGAAGAAGACAAGCCCTTTAGAGCTTCAGTTCTCCTCTCCTCTCGTAGTTTTTTTTTTTTTTTTTCGCGCAGTAGCGCGAGATCAGAGAAGATCATCCATCAGAGAAGTGTAACGTTTTACCATGTTATGGCTGCAGACCCATTAAACAGTGTTTTGCACTCCTTTGACAGCTGTCGGTTTAGTTTGGGGTATTTGAATGTTTCATGTTAGCGATAAAACCGGACACGCAAGATTTCCACCATTTTTACACTTTAGCCAATCAGATTTTACTTATAGAACCCGTCACTTGGTGGTTCAAGGTGATTTGTTGCCTGAGTGCACGTGACAGGCGTTTGAATGGTAGGGAACTGGCCGGGAAAATTGATGGGTTCGAGTAAATAAAGGGTGTATTTCTTCCTTTCGCACCTTTCTTCGCATTTTCCCCTTCAAAGGCCTACCGTGCAGGTTACGCGATCAGCACATCGAACAATCGTAGAGAATAAGAGCCCACGGAGCAAAGTAAACAATACGACTGGAACTGGTGCGATAACAAGAAAATGAACAGTATGATTAAAGGACTTACCACAAGACAGAACGCGGACATACAGTTCACCAAGGAAATCGAAGAAAATGGTAAGATACCTTTCCTAGACTGCTTGGTCGATCGCGACAACAACAGATCACGAACGACTATTTACAGAAAACCGACACATGCCGAGCGATTACTAGACCAGTCATCGTACAACCCGACCTCTCACAAGGCTACTACTATTCGGACTTTGAGGAGACGAGCGTAACTACTTTGCGACTCACCTGACACCCTACAAGACGAGACTGACTACCTAAACAACGTTTTTAGTATATAAAGAACAACTACAGCACGGACTTTGTTAGACGGAACACTCACAGTAACACTAATTCAGACCAACGTGAACTCTGGCCCTGTGACGACAGCGACTACACCGTACATCAGACGCACCTCTGAAACTATCGCGCGTATACTATACAACCTTACAAAATACGTGTTGAACACAAACCGATAACCACTTTAAGACGACTGCTTACTAACAGGCAGGGAGCAGTATACGAGATCAAATGCTGCGACTGCCAGGCTACTTACATTGGCGAAACTGACCGAACACAAACGAGCGACGAGAAATGATGACGTCAACAACCACATTACTGAACACCATTTACAGACGAAACATCAAATCGACTGGGACTCTGCGACATGTGTTACGTATTCTACAGACTACTAACAACGACTTACTTTAGAAAGCTGGTTTACTAACTTAGAACAAACGTCACTGAATCGTAGCCAACAGTTACCAGCACCGTACGAGATCAAGCAAAACTAACTACGAGAGAACGTACGACTGGAGAACTGAAAATTTGACTAACAGTAGACGACTGTTAAACTGGGACAATAGACGGATCAAAACACACCAATTACATTACGAGTCTTCATAGCCAATAACATCACGACCAAAAACATTGTGACGTATTTTACCAATCAGATCAATAACCAAAGTATAATATCATCAACTGACGTGAAACAACTCACTTTGACTCTGAAGATAACTAGTTACTGAGACTACAAAGAATAACGAAAGCGCATTGTTCTTATAACGAATTTGCATTAAATGTTTCGGGCCGACAACGTTTTGTTTCTGGTGGATTTTCACATTTATTCTTATCGTGACGACAAAAAAAACATATTTGGCAATGAATAATTGACAAAGGTCACTTCCGTGACTTTTCAAAGCTGCATATTCTCTCAAAACACTTGATTACAACAGTACATCGTATAATCATAGTTATTAGAGGAGACTGGTTATGAAAAGCGGCAAACATCAATGATAAAAACAACAGTGCTGCAGTTTATGTTCAAAGCACCGTGAAAGTGCACAATCCTTTGTTTTCTGTTGGCAAATTGTTACGGAATAAATTAATGCAACGTTTTTATTGGTCAATACAATTAAAATGATAGGAATTCTTTTGAACGTTGTGCACTTTCAGGTCCACAAAAACATACAACAAAGGAGTCTGACGGGTTTCATAACCATTCCACTCAATTAACTATGGTATAATATTATTCAAAAACAAGAAAAATTTCTCATAAATTAATTCAGAAATGATTTTTTGCCTCATGTTTTTTCTGTCATAGTTTTTTGACCAAAACCAATTTTTTTCCCTGGACCTTCAGTTTAATTTATATTTTTTAGCGAAAACTGTTGAGCAGTTTATTCAGTTGTTTCGCAGTGATGGAAGAGGAGCTCGCTAGATTCTGATAAGGTAAGCTTATAATCGGCAACGCAATGTGAAGCTTTTGTTCACTTTATACACGCGACGAATACCGTTAATTATACCACGGTAAATCAGTTAATCCTACCACATGCTTTTTGGCGAATTTTCCTACTACGTGAAGTCCTATACAGTAACAAAATATGAGAGTCAGTGAGAGAAGAAAACTCAACGCATACTTTGTTCTGGCTAGCTGTGCGCTAAATTTATGGTAGAAATAAACATTTGAGCCGAAATTAAACCGCAAATAGGCAGAGCTGCGAAAGCTCAATGCGGTAGAGTAGGTGAAAAAATAGTTGTGAGAGGGGCATTAAAATCAAGTATTAAAGAAGCGGAAGAAAGAGGACGCACTTGACGACTATATCGATTCATGGTTGAATGAGCCAGTTTCAAACGCCGTTTTTCTGGAAGATGGCTTCTCAGTTCGACTCAGTGCACAACCATCAATTTTTATGTTCTGTTTACAATTCAAAGAAGCATCAGTGCTTTTTGCACGAGCATTAATCTACTTTTCGGTCATCAAAGAGAGCTTAGGTGGTTATAATACTTTGTTCTCTAAATGAAACTCTTGCTGGAGCTTGACACTTGGGAGTGTGTTCATCGTTATTCGTGTAGCGTCATATGAGAAAAACTAGCAAACAAAATGTTCGCAAAATAAAGATTGTACTATGACATAATTTCAACAAATGCTACGGTCTATTATTTAAACCAGCTGGCCTCATCTTTCTATTATGCTGCGAGTATGGGATAGCATCCGGGCAATCTAACATTAAAGCTATGTTCATACCATACCGGACAGCTTTTCGTGGCACCACGAAAAGTTATCCGATATAGTATAGTAAGAACACCTATCCCATATGTGAGTCTCCACTTTAGAGATAGGCGCTGCGCAGCTTCGTTCCGTCACAGAAATCGCGCCGCCACAACCATTTTTGTGTGTGAACAGAAGCCTTATCCAGTATGGTTTTCGTGATGAGGGCGCAATAGCTGTTCGATATAGTCTGAACGAAGCGTAAGAAACACTATCATGCTAAGATATATAATAACATTTCAATACCACACAAAATGGAAGAATACTGGCCAAATGAGAAAGAAGTAAATTTACTTCTCACCAGTTTTGTTAACGTCCCGTGGTGTTTAGCGACGTTTTACCGAGAAGATCCCATTCCGCTCTTACTGAGAATACAAAAAAAGCTGAAAGGGGAAAAGTTTTACAAAATTCTATTGGCAAGTTCTATCTTCATATGCGCGTTTTGATTATTCTCGGATCGTTCTCTGGTGTGTGAGTAGGAGACAAAAAGGTCAGTATTTTGGGATACAGCTTTGCTGAGAATCTTATTATGACCCTGCGTGGCTGGTTTTGGCGGCAAAACCACCCATGGTTCGCCCTGCTCCTTTGCCAAAACTCTGCTCGAACTAAATAACGATCCTGCCGGCTACGTGGGCTAAGATTCTTTCGAATTCTTAGACAATTATCAAACAGTAGTTGACGTTTGTTCCAATCTGGCAACTCGACTGGAATTCGCATAAAAATATGCTGTACTTCTTCAGTTAAAAAGAAAAAAAAAGAAGCGTGTTTTTCTCAATCGCGTCGAGAGTTTATTGCAAATAAAAGATAAGAAACTAAAATCGAGGGCTTTTAAGTATTTCTCTAACAAGTAATGAGCGACAGCCTTTGTCAAAAGGCTACCTGGGTTTCAGTATTTTCCTCAGTTCCCCTCACTAGTATACTGTGTTTCGTTCTTTCTGTCTGTCTGTTTTTTGGACCAAAGGCGCACGCTGCTACAATATGGGACGGAAGAATTTAATGTATCAAAACAAAACATGTATATCTTAATCCTAAGGTTCATGCAAGGTAAGAAAAGCAACTTGGCACTAACAAAAGTTTTTTTCGTTCAGCAACATTTACGAAACAGTATACAATAAATTTTCCAGCTCTTCTAATCGAGACAAACTCTTTTTCAAAGTCAATTGATCCACTTACCTTTCATACGCCTTTCCCTGCTGTTATTTATTTTTATAAGGTTAGTAAACGTGGCAGTCTATCGGAGCCTACTATTGTCTTCATCCAACAACAAGAAAATTTTCGTTTAAGTTAATTCAAACAGTAAAAATTTTATTCTCATCATTTAACTGCACTTGAAACAGTAAACCAAAACTTTGCTGGAGTTTGATGCTCGATTTTGTCAGTCCGCAACGTATTTTCGACTTTCTTTTTATCTCAACATAGAAGGAAGAAATGTTGCTGTTTGCTTTCTATTTTACCTCTTGATATCTTCGCAATGCGCTTTTGATAACGCCTCCTCTGTCGCCACGGTAAGACTTCTAAGTAAACAAGAAAATTTGCTTTCTTTGAACAACGTAAAAATTGTATTGCCAACAAATTAAAGCAATTAGTTTTCAGTTGTTGAATTTGAAAGTGTTTTAGTGGAAAAAACAAAGAGCTTCTTTTAGAACTATTTAAATGTTTTATCCAAAGCAGCGGAGGACCAAGCTGGCTTCATGTTTATGCTTAATTAATATTGAATATTGCCAGGCTTGTGATGAGGCCGGTCTTGCTCTTTAATTTCACTAGATTTTGAAATGATTTGTTTGTAAATACCGGGAAAACCTAGTTTCTAATAACAACTAACACTCGCGCTACGCCTGCGGCAGACAGAGGAGCTAGGCCATTATTCACCATTATCAACGAGAGGGTTTATTTTAAAAACGCGCAGAAAGATAATGAACTTGATTTTTTAAAAGTAGCTCACACACCATCTGCATTACACGTACCTGACATAATAACCGTCCGTGTTGCCAGAAGAAAATTAAAAGGAAGACAGCTGAGTGAACAAAAATGTCCTCAAAAATTTTTTTATATGGGATAAAAAAGAACTAGTTTGTTTTTAAGCACAAAAATTTGGCGCTGAATTAAATCATCAACATTAACACAATAAATGCGGCAGGAAATAAGACTAGCAGAATTACATTAGTGCGTTTTATTGAGCATTTGTCACATACACCGATCGATAACGATCGATAACCAACCAAAGAGTTTATTGACAACCAAATGAATAGTTGGTACTGTTCTTAAATTAGGTCAGCTAACCAAGAACTATGACATCGTTGATCTACAAAGCTCGATACCGTGTCGAACCGTTTATACTAGCCACAACATAAGAATAGAATGTGAAATCAACCTGTCTTAATGAGATGCCTATTCATCGGTGATAATGTATTCCTTTCAATCTTCAGGAGATCCCTGCCCAAAAACTGGCTTATTCGGTGGGCCCTATACTACTTTAAAATAAGGTATTATCGCGTCTCATCGCAAAGTAGGTGGAAACCGGTCTGTTTCCACAGGAGTCCGGATAAATCGGATAGATCACTGATCGAGATATAAGTTTCTCTACAATCTCCTTTTTCTGCACCATGCCATAGGCATAACTGCAACCATATCATGGAAACGTTTGTACATGTTTTGTCACACGTAGGCGTACAGGTCGGGGGGGCGAGGGGGACTGCAGCCCCCCCAAATTTTGGGCAATTCAGATTTTTTGGGCAGCAAGAGAAAATTTGGGCAAAGCCAGTTTTTAAAGACGTTTCCATGTTTTTTTATTAGTCTAAAGAGACAAATATTTTCTATTTTAATCTGAAAAAATCCTGAAGTCAGCGTAATAATCCAGTTACTTTCTCTCGAGACACTCACAGTGGTTTCCTAGCACGTGATGACTTTCTGGTTATAGGGAAGGGTATCATTTGTTGATTTACATATTTCTAGTTTTTCATTGTTGAGCACTGTACTGCACTGCACTGACTGGAATGGGCTCTTTCCAGTCGTGAATTGATTAGAATAAACTTCCGCATATCTTTCTAGAATCATCTCTTACGAGAAGAATATTAAATTTGTTTAAAAGTCTATCAAGCAATAATTTATTAAAGTAGACCGAAATGTTTACAAAATCGCTAACAAGATCACCTCGATACATACTAATGAAATCCTTGTCTCTAGCAATCGGCCGGAGCTATCTCCATGGTCATATCTTTTACACACGTTTTTAAAAAGATTGAAGCTACCATGAGGTGAAATTGCATGTCAAAAGAGCTTCGTATTCTACAAATAACGGCCAAACATCAAGATTTTTTTTTACCATCTTTATAACGATAAAAACTTTATCCCAAAACATCCCAATAACACTCCTATAGATTCCGTTCTAATTTCACTAACGTTGAGGCGACTATTGGAGAAAAAAGCTGTCGTAAACAATTTTGTAGCAACAGTTCCCAGAGCCGACAAATATTGCAGAAAGTAAAATAGACAATGTCGTTATTTTGTTGCTATGACAATTGTGATGTCATGAAAACTCTGCTCATGATAAATTTTCATCTTTATCTGATAAAACTATGGTAGGAATTTTTCCAAATGTTTGTCTATGGAGACGTAGTTATTCTCAAAATTGGGAGGTATTGACCCTGAAAAACTGTCATAGTATACAGCCACCTTCATATACCAGTACGGCCTGCGTTATTGCATCGTATGGCCCTCGTTTCTTTTCTACTGTTTCGTAAAAATTTGGGCAACTTGCGAGAATTAATCGCAGGCTGAAGTAATACTGCAGGAAAACCTACGGTGGGCCTCTCCTACCAAACTAAGAACACAAGACTAGAAGACGCCAACTTTGTTCAAGGAGTGCAAGAATGTCTGTCAAAGAAGTTAGCACTGCGTGCACGGACTCTGAATGCTGCGCTGGCTAGGTATACACCCAATTACAAACACGATGTCGCAGAAAAATGAAAAAAGGAAAAGGCCAAATAGGAATTGATTAGGCTAATAAGCCTAATGAATTCATTTGCAGAATCCGCGTATGGACGTCGTATTTGCCTGTTGGAATTTGCTTTTGTTTTAAAGCTGATTTTGGTCCGTTTTTGGTGTCACAAAAAGCAGGCCATTTTGCCAGGCGCTCCTTGTGAAGACCGTGGAAACTGGGACTAAGAATCGTTGCGTGATTGAAGCCACGCATGTTTTGCGAAGAAAGCTTAGGAAAGATTGAATTTAGAGCTTTTCCGAAACGTGTCGGTCCACGAATTCTATCACTTGAACACTACTGAGCGGTCGAAAAAAAATAAGAATCCTAATTAGCAAAACTGCAATGATCGGATGTTGTAAACTTTCACTGTATGCAAATGAGTCTTGTGATGAGCATGCGATTTATTTTCGGCGAGGATTGAAATGACGTGCCACGTAAATCACTTTTTCGATATCGGGCGATGATGTAATTTCTCTGGAATCTTCGTGTCTTTATACACGCGTATAGCCTAACACGCGTACTAAATCAATTCAGAAACAAATAACAAGTATCGACGCCGAGAAAATAGAAAGTAAAAAAGCTTTAGCGATTAAATCAGTCTCCCGAATTAGTAAGGCACTGTGCCTGAGCTATAAGACGTGAGACTATTAGAACTACTATAAATTCAAAAAATGATCACGCTTATAAAATCGCTTATTTGAAATATACTCTTACCCTGAACTCAAATTCCAAAAATGAAGCATTTTCGTTAAATATAAGCCGAGAAAACGAAGGCCAAAGTTGGTACCTAAGGGACGGACCATTAGAAAAGTTATGGGGGGAGGGGAATTTTCGAGCCGCAGGAATTTTTTTATGTTATCAAGTTCGTTGCATGAATTTTTTTTAGGCCATAGCATGAATATTTTTTAGGATTAATTGGCGTGCAAGAATTTTTTTCACTTAATTTTCCCTTGCGCGAATAATTTTTTTGTACTTCGCCCGCCCCCACTTCACTTTCCTCTGTCTTTCCGGCCTCTGTTACATCTGTTGCATGTTAAGCAAATTGTTAGAGTAAATAAATTTCTATTCACCAAACGTTGAGTAGAAGGAAAACTCTGAATTTTCCTCGGAGTTTCTTAAGCCAAAATGTGACTCATTGAATACTGAATAGTTACAAAATACCAGGATTTTTATCATTGTGGTAGATGGTTGCATCATCATAATTCACGAGATTTTCACGTGCGATTCAACGCAGTGAAACAGTCTTTAACTCCGACAACTTATTATTTGGGCGTGGCTTAAATAGAGTAATGGAAACGGCTTGTTTTGACGCAAATGTGCAATAGGCACGCAATACGTGCTAACGTAAACAAGGCAAGTAAACAAGCGAAGCGAGGCGAATGTCTGTCATTCGAACGTCTTGTACAAGGTAAGAGGCATGTGGGAAAGAAAGCTCTGCTTGCACACTGCACTTAATCGCACTTTTACGATCTCAAAATTTAATCTGAATCTTCAGTATTTTTGCCTCATCGAAATTTGGAAGTCTGAAGTTCAGGGATGAAATCTATCAAAAGTATTTGGAATATTAACGTCGGGTTTTGGTCAAATATCACAAGCAACGAACCTTGAAACACAGAAACTCAAAAAACGGATCGAAATCCACCAATCACAAACCATAAACAATGACCTTTTGAACCCGTTGAAGAAAACTTTCCTTTCCTAAGAGGTCCGATAAGATGATTGACGGCTGACATTTTTTTGACGAGAGGATCAAAATGTACCAATCATCGAAAGACAGTTTTAATTGCATGTTTCCTAAGAGGTCATCTGAATTTGCTCTTTTCTTTATTTTATGTCCATTTTTTGTGATTGGTCGATTTTGTTAGGTCGAGTGGATAATCCAATGAGGGACGATTTGGATATCGTTTGATCCGAAATTTTTCGAAGCAGCAGTGAGAAGCAGTTTGGATAACATTTGGCCGCGGCGTTTCGAGGAACGTGTTAATATATTGTTCAATCAGGTTATTCCGGGTTAAACTTACAAATGCACACACTGTTCGCGGTAGGCCCGCACTAAAAAATAACACTGAGTGTTTTGGGAATGGGCTGGTCCGCGAACTCAAAGAAAGACAAAGGAAATTATCAAGACATTCAACGACATCAAAGACTCATGGACCCCATAGACGTAATAACAAATCGGAATATCAGGAGTGTACGTGTAAAATGGATAAGAGTTGGAATAGAGGAATGTTGAACAAGTTTGAGAGTCGCAAGATTTGTGTAGCTGGTTATCAGTGTGACAATAGTGATTTTGGTTTTGCATTGCGGAACACAGTGAGTTGCCTGTGATAAAAATCTGTTCCGATGAAGGAAGAGACGATTGTCAACAATTGAAACCAAAAGGGTCTGAGGCTTCTTTTGGAACTACTGTGATAACTGCAACAATTCTTCTTCAATTTTGTTTAGCAGGGTGACGGTTAATGTACTTGTTTTTGTATTGCGTGTTGTGTTTTTTCATACGATGCTGTGCGTCGGGATTTTGCATTATCAGCAAGTTTTGTGTTAGAGTGTTTTGATGTCAGCGAGGTGACGACAAGAGAAGGTAATGAGCTAGGTGTACAGAAGAAAAATTGTGTTGTGGAGGAAATAAAAGAAGTTGAATTGAGTTCTCGTCGTGGGAAATTCATTTATAACAGAACTTACGATTTCATTGCTTTAAATCAGGTAGTCCATTATATTTTCGGCATGACAAATTACCATAAAATCGAGATTGTAATTCGAAACTCGCGTTGTTTTCAAAATTTGCATAAATCGGGCGCTGCAAAGAAATATTTAGGTTACAAGCGCTTCGAAATACTGTACCTGTGCGTATGGAAAAGCCGGAAACTGAAACGGAACCGGAACCGGAACTTAAATTGAGACTGGGGTAAACTGGGAAGCACTGAAACCAGTTCCCAATAAAATTCAAGATGGCGTCCTCTGTTATCATTGTTTTGGGAAATTTTCAGCACAGTGATCGTGATACCACAGATATACTCACATTCGGAAAGCGACTTGCAAAAAAAAAAGGTAAGTGCATTCTACTGTTATTCCTAGCAGTCATAAACTGTGACTTCAGCTGTAGGTCGAGCAACTTTCGACAGATCGAGACTACAACTAATCAGAAGTCGATTGACTGCGAAAAACAGCCATTATTAGTATGTGATGTTTAAGACCGCTGTGTTATTCATTTCCTTCTCTTGAGCCTAAGTTACTCTTTTCTTAAAAAAGGCTCCGTGTTTCATCCATTGTGAGGGAAAGGCAGCAAAGGGAGGAGGAGTACTCATGTCAATCATGATCCCAAGTTGCAACGCTCACGCGTATATGAAATTCTCGAAGAAAAATTTTGCACCTTACGCAAAAAGTGGGACAGTAAAAAATATAATAACAATAGATAAATATAATGTGGGAATGAAAAGTCTTGATCGAGCAATTATTGTTAGTGACACTCTCAAGACAGAAACGTCTGCAATTTTTATTTGTTAGGTTCCGGTTCCGGTTCCGGTTCCGTTTCCGTTTCCGGATTCCGAATTCCTTCTTTCCCATACGCTCTTTCTTATTTTATCAGCTTCTGGTATGAACGAAACGTTTTTCTTCTCGGTAAAGTTCACTCAACAAATTTAGAAAGATGTACTTGACTTTTCATATGTGGAACGAACTGACTTTTTTGTGGAACGAACTGACTATTTTATGGAATGATCTGACTATTGATTGGAATGATCTGACTTCGAACAATGTCAACGATCTGACCATGGAACGAAATGACCGGTTACCGTCATGCCCCTAGCAGAGTACCAATGAACAAAATAAAATTTTTCTTACAGAAAACACCGAAAGTGACACTCTTTGTATGGAAGAGTATTCGGAAAAATACACCATTGTCGTCTGAAATTCATTGTTACGTTAAAAGTACAAAAGGTTTACACTTAAACAGGTACAGAAGTAACTGTAACAGTGTGGGGTTTTACTTAAGGGGCACCTCCAAAACTAGTTCGTAAACGAGGGAAGGTGTATCTGTCGTCCAAGCATCAGAGCACAGGCAATTTAGGTGGAATGAGATATCCAAATAGGCTTCTAAGTAAGAATTTGCCCCTGTGTACATGTAATTATCCATTTTATACTGCTTAAAACAGTTTGAATCACCGGGTTAATTTTGGGCAATTTAAGCTTTGTACTGATATAGCGAAGAATCCAGGACCTTCAGTTTATGTAGATGCTACAAAAACAATTAATACTGTCAAGGAAATGTTACAGGATTTGGGGAAAATGGTGGACAACGATGTGTCGCAGTGAGTCTGTGCGCTTTAATTTACAGTAAGATAACAAAGATTATTTCAGTTGATATGACTCAAATAATGATTGTTGGTATTCAATTATATTCTTGTCTGACTCTGCTTGTAAGACAATCTATGTTAATGTTAACAGAATTGCCAGGAATGGTTACAGTGTTTGAGCAATTTTTCCACCTTGAATACAGTGACAGTTATACTTTTAACATCCATCACTACTGTATATGCCACTTACAGGTTACAGCATTTGAAACACTCTTGGCACTGAACTTCAACTCATTCATTTCAATGGTGGCAATTATTGGTCTTGGTATCTACAGCACTGAGGCTGGGGGATATAATGCATTTGATTCTCATGCTAGAGATATGTATCATAACAGTCATAGTGAAGGGACATGTGTATTGTTGGAAATACCATCCATGCATAAATTAGTACAATATTTTCAGACTCTACATAGGAATGAGGGTATATATGAACTTAAAGGTGTACATATTGCCACCTTTGAACCTCATCTTTTCTCAAGCAATGTTGAAAATTGTAGTATATCAAATGTTAATACCGGTAGTTACCAATGTTCCTGTAAACAGTGCTGCCCTATAGCAGTTTATTCAATGTGTTACTCTCTTATTAATCCTTGTGGATACTGGACTTAAGGAACTTTATTTGCCCTTGTTAGTAACCGGAATACACTGTACAAAGTGATGGGTGTGAAAACACATCTGTCAGTATCAGTGGAGCTGAGATAAACCTTACTCTCTGGGCTGTTACCACTTATGTCCTATGTTGTAATTTGGCTCCAAGCATGTCTGCATTGAAGATATGCATATTTTCAAACAGTGTCGTGAAGTTACACTATTTTTGTTGTGGATTGGGACATACTGTATAAGCTGTGTGGTTCAGCAAACAAGTGGAGTAAAGGATTTGTCTTCACTGGTAAGATATGATGACAGTTTTTTTAGCTGCAATAAGGTATGTTCAAAGTATCATACCCGTAGTACGACCACGCCCAAATATACGCTCACACAGCGTCTTGTTTCTTCATGTTTTAAAAGCTATTGCAAGACAAGAGCCTTTTTAAGGCATTGGTTACAAAACGAAACAGGTCTTCAGACGTCCAAGGTACTATTTATTATTGTGAAAAGCCAATCTGCATCAGATGTACTGTCACACAGCTGGCACGTGAAACAGTCTTTTATTCCGACAACTTATTTCTTCATGTTTTAAAAGCTATTGCTTCTTAAAAGACAAGAGCTTTTTTTAAGGCATTGGTTACTAAACGAAACAGGTCTTCATACACAGTTTCATACGTCCAAGTTACTATTATTATTGTGAAAAGCCAATCTGCATGAGATGTACTGTCACACAGCTGGCACGTGAAATTGTTGGACTTTGCCCCCTTTCGTGGTTCGTACGTGAGGGAATTCGAGGTATCACACAGTAATCTAGTAAACAGAATTAAAAAGATAACTCATGCACACAATTTGCATGTGAAGATGTTGGTCTTTGGCCCTTTCACAATTCGTACGTAAAAAAAGGCAAATTGTTTTACCACAAAAGTTTCTCAAACGATTTTAAGAAATCACCTCGGCTTTATTACAACATCTGCAATTAAATTATGTTTCATGCAACGTCAAGGTTGATATCAAACTGCCGAAACTCAATACAACAGTATCTAATTATTGTGTCAACTAGCTTCTTCCAATTTTATTCCCTAAAGCTACTGTTTCTACTTAAGTTACGCATCTTTACTAAATAAAATACGTTTCAATAACTATAACACTCAGTATGCAAGAAGGATGTATCATGCTGTTCACTTATTATTCTTTTTTTTGTTTGTTTTGCCAGAACGAAAAAGGTCTGTTGAACTTTGTAAGCGAGAGAATAATATTTTTAAAGCTTGTTTACAGGATTAACAATACTCGGTACAGCTTTCACAAAACTAAGCTGCCTTTTAAGCTTCTTAAAAACCGCATTATCTTATAGGGCGGATACTTTCGAATTAAAGTCTATATCTAAATATCAATTATTGCTTCATTGGAAGAGCTTTGAAAGTATATGATCTTTTGTACTCTACCCAGTTGTAGCACGTGAAACAGAACTGATACTGACGTGCGTTGTACCGAGCCGAATTAGGTCAGAAATGCCTTGAAGCAGCATCCACACTAAAATATGAACCCTTAAACAGCTGCATCACTGTACACAGCGTTTGAATCATGAAAATATTTAATGTAATTCTTCCAAACACCTGTAGCCGTAATAAAAGACGAAAAAATTGTGAAGAATCAAGATGGCGGTCTCAAAGTGCCCTTGTTCGACCTTTAGCAACGCCATGTTTAATTAGATGCCAAGATCTCATTGGTTCCTAGGCATCAACTCATAGTACCTTCAACCTTATTGGCTCTTGCAACAAACATCCGAACAAACAAAGATACAAAGTTACAAAGATACAAAGACACAAAGATACAAAAATACAAAGATACAAAGCAACAAAGATACAATTACGCTCACACCACTGACATATGAGCTATTTTTTCAAAATAGCTCAATAAGGCCGCAGTTAAATAATCTGTTATGCAAATTAGCCCGTTGCTAAGGCTAAAACATTGTCTACGACGCCATATTGAGAGCACGTCACGCAACTTGTTCAAACGATAATATTCGTATTTTCTCACCACTTTTCGTGCTACAATCGGATCAGTGTCACAACAAACATTAAGAACAGCGGTTTACTCGTAAGAATTCAAGATGGCGACGAAGAAAACAGCGCAGCGCGACGTAAATTAAGGGCGAATTGAGGGCAATTTTCCGGCTGTCTTGGACCGCACTGAAAACAAATCGAAGTAAAAAGATGAGGATTTATAATACCGCGCTGAAACTTACCAGGTTTATTCACATGATGTAAAGAAAAAATCTATTGAATTCTCGGTAATTCCCGGAATATTCTGGAATTTTTGCGGCGGCCTGAAGTTACAGGGCATTAGAAAAAAATTCCACCTCTATATCTCAGGAAAAATTTACTGGTTACTGCCGGGAATTTAAAGGTAAATGAGCAAACTACGTATAAGTCAGTTCCGATTTTCTTGTTATTCCTAGCTGTCGAGAGAAAGCCAGAGATACGGAATTATTGAATTTTTGAGCCTGCGATATAAATCAGACATAACACCGTAAGTGTAAAAATTGACACCTCGCATATCAATTTTCTGAAAGCTCAGCTCTCACTTGATAGGCCTGTGTAATTTTTATTTTGCAAAATTTTTAATCATTTAAAAAATAAATTTTTCAAGTGGAAGGGTTCATAGCAGATTTATTATCAAGTTTCTTGTAGAATTAATCGCCTCCTCATTTTTCTATCTAATCTCCAAGCAGGCGAGACCTGGATGCAGCTGTAAGCACGTTATTGTTCCTTTTTTTCATTTTTTCAAGACAACGTTATTGGAATTAGGTATAAATGTCAAATGCGCATGCTTATGGTCACTCTTCAGAGAGATTAACCCAGCAAGGCTTGAATTTATTGAGGTAGAGTAATCTGATAGAGAGGATGCTACACTAGCTCAATATGACGTAGACAAAGAGGAACAGCAAGGAAACTTGTTGTTCCGACCATTGAAGAAGATTTCCAAAGAAAAAAAATACTGTAGCAGTGCGAAGCGCCTTCCACCTTATAAATATCCCCCAAAAATTCACAAAACATCGTGAGGAGAGAAAGTAAATATTTTCAAGCATATTTTTTGCATCCATTGCAAATTATGACTAAAGTACGCACATACAAATGATTTATTTAAAGCTATCAATGGTAAACGTTATAGTAAACAGTAATGAAAACAAATGGACTTGTACCATGTTTTTCTACAAATTCATGGGAAAAAGCAAACGTGATATTTTTGCAAAAAGAACAAATCTGGCGTAAATGTATGTCAAAGTTGTTTAATTAAGAGGTGTCAAAAAAAGGCAAATGTAAAGAAGATGTCAAATTTACGTCGCCGTTTCGCGCAAATCAACAAACAAATACCTTATACCTTCAAAATTTCTCCTGATTAGGTCAAATTTAAGGCCTTTAATTTGCATCCAATTTACGTCGGTTGCAAAGCTGTTTAAATCCAATTTTTCACCCAGTGTCAAAAACAGTAAACGTCGCGTGGCCATTTGTCCGCCCCTCCCTTTATGCTGTTTTTATAATTATATAAATTCCCTCAATTTTAAATTAACAGTGAGCTTTTATCCTCGTCTTTCGTTGCCCTCATACGCGCAACTGTTGGAGTTGTATAATTGTTTTTTTCTCTATTCGCAACTAGTAATTTTGCGACTTCTCTTTTGACCTCAACATGAAAGAAAGAAGTGTTCTTATTTGCTTCCTATTTTACCTGTTGGTAGCATCGCAATGCGTCATTGATAACGCCTCCTCCTCTCTCGCTAAGGTAAGAATGTCCAAGAATTCAAAGTGAACCACGCAGAAATGATTTTAACTTGTTGAATTTTGCAGCCAAAAGTTCAAGCAGAGTAAACACAGTTATAGTGTTCGAAGTCTTTAAGCAGCAGTCTTCATGTTTTTACTTAATTATTAGATAACAACATAAATATTGCCAGGCTGGTGATAAACTCTATTTATTCTAATAAATGCTTAAGTCTTGTTCTTTAATTTCTCTTAACAGCGAATAGATTCGTTAATGAAGATATTTAGAAAACGTACTGTAGTTTTAAAGTACATCTAACGATCGGGCTGCGCGAATGAACATCTACCATCGGAGCCTGTCCACGATAGGGTGTATTAAAAGCGTAACCCTCGCGTTATCACAGCCTGTTTCCTAAAGAGAATTATAAAGAAATTTAATATTAAGGCTGGTGTTTGATTCTGCATGTGTCCCGTGTGAGATCAACGACAATCATGAATTTTATTATTTCCAATAATTTTTATTAGTGAACAATAAGTGAAGTATGGATTTTAATAACATACCTCGACTAATTATTTAACGAATAATTAAAGTATAGCCAAGTGATTAAATAAAAACCAAGTAATTAGCATATGACTAAAAATTGAATTAATTATACAGTGAAGACCTATAAATGAGCATACATGTCAACTGGTCTCTACATTCGCATCTACTGGCCTCGGAAATGCAGCCTTAAACCCTTCTTTTAAATGCAAATAACCTAAAATACTATAGAGAGATTGTCTAAAATGCAGCATTAAACACTCCTTCCTCAGTCAGACGTATTAGAATATGCAATGGCGGAAGCACCATGGTTGTGGCCAACCCGAAAGCTTTTCTCCTTTGTCCACTACACACTTTTCCAAAGCAATATTTATTGCAACATGTATACTAGCTCTGATTTTCCCCTTTTTTTTAGTTTCTATTTTTATTCTATTTATGTACTTTGTTTTGAATAACTGTGAATAAACTGAACTTGAACTTGAACTCAAACTTTCTAATAAACTGCAAAAAATCCTGAACAAAGATCGTACTAGTGGTCATTGTTGAATCTCAGTAGAGATCAGCTCAACTTGAATCAAGTAACATCCCCGACCTGCAGAAAACTGGTTTAATTAGCCGGAATAACTTTTTGATTACATGAACACGTTGTGTAAGCTTTGCAGTAGTCCTTGAATTTTTCGTATATTATTTTTACTACCATTTTTAAGCAAAATGGTTTTATCCTCTGATTTCCTTTAACTCTTTACATAGAACTCAAACACGTGCTTGCAAGGATCGCCTGGCCTCCCTGGACGTAACGGAGTAAATGGACATAATGGGTTACCAGGCCGCGACGGCCGAGATGGTACAAAAGGAGAAAAGGGCGTGGCAGGTCCCTCTGGATCACGTGGTGAGAAGGGAGAAATGGGACCAAGTGGAACAGATACTGATCACAGGAACTGGAAACAGTGCGCGTGGAAGACTAGCGATGGTCGTGATATTGGACTGATTAAGGTTGGTTGATTTTTGCCGTACATTTACCATAACTGTCTGTTGTTCGTTTAGATGGATCATTAGCTAGTTTATCTCCCAATGATGACATATACAGCTATTTCGAAAAAGGCTGACGGAAAAAGTGCACGCGACAATCCCGAAAGGTAGTGTGGGGGGTTTTGAGATCACTGTTCTTTCGAGAAATTTTTAAAAAATGGCACGAGAGGCTATGGACGTATGTTTGCGAGTTCTAAAGTGAAGCAGCAAAAGTAGGTTCGACTGCTACAGTGTCAGAAACAGTGTATTGATCGTATCCCAAACTACCTCTCGGGATTTTCACGTGCACTTTTTTTTCCGACAATTTTTCTCTAAATACCTGTATCTTCATAAGAGTTATTATCCAGTGGTATTTTTACATGGGCGAAAAAAGATCTTTTAAATAGACATGGAAATAATCGGTGTTTCTGTTCTTGCAGGATTGTCAGTTCACTAAAACCAAGGATGATACTGCTCTTCGTGTTGTTTACCAGGGTAACGTCTATGTGGGAGGGTGTGCTAACTGCTGTAAGCGATGGTTCATCACTTTCAATGGAGCGGAGTGCAGTGGTCCCCTGCCTATTGACGCAGTGCTGTTTATCCGAAATAAAGACGAAGACAACCACAGACCCGGGTTCATTGAGGGCTACTGTAACAACATACACAAGGGCAAAATCCGAGTTGGAATCAACATTGGAAATTGTGCAGGATTTGGAAACTCCAATGGCTATACAGGCTGGAATTCAGTGTCCCGTTTGATCATTGAAGAAGTCCCTCGTTCCCAGTGACACGCTAAAAACCACGATAGTTAGTAATATTGCTGACAAAATCTGTTGATTAGTATTTGAATTGAGCTAAACAATAAAAGGGCTAAGATATAGGGTAGTTTTGAAAACGTTTGCATGTAAAACAAGTCAGTTTAAAACCCGCAATAACCTGATAAGCACGTTAATTGTGTAGATATCGACATGCCTCTTTATGCTGAATTTCTGGTTTTATTCTGAATGAATTCTTGAAAGACTGTGTCACCGCTTCACAATACACCTCTTATACTTACAAGATCTTCACCTTTTTTCAATTTTGTAGTCAAGGGCATCCTTTTCAATTCAAGTGTAGAAGGGCTTGCGCTTCCGCAACTGAGAGACATTTGCCTCTTCTAAAAATCGTCGCAAAAATTTGTCTTCAATTACCAATTTTTATATTGGGAAACGCCACTGTATCATGAAAAAGCATTCTCCTGCAAAGAACAAAGATCAGTCAAAGTACCTTAATCTGCTAATTTTCATTAGAAGACTCAGGGACTTCCTAGCGCTTTCAGTGAGCCTCCACTGCTTCGACGCGCCCAGGTCGCGTTTACAATTTATTTATTGGCGACGTTAGAAAAAATTTTGTCCAGCCCTAGGCAACAGAATTTTGAAAACTGCAAAGTTCTTAATACATAGCATCTCTTAAAATAACGCTACGGTAGAAACCCCGCTAACTCAAACTCTCAAGGGAAACGGAAAACTGTTCGAGTTAGCGAGGGTTCGAGTTATCGGGGTCGATTGAAAAATTCAATTTGCTGGTTTTTTAGCTCTTCAGTGTATAGTGTGGTGCAAATCTAACTTATATCACCAGAAACAGTAAAATGATTAACCATTTTTAGTAATAAAAAGTGAACTGTTCGCTGCACCAATGAAAATCAAACTGCTGTTACAGTAAGTGTTGACAAGTGTTAGTTTAAATGTTTTTACCCCCATACAACAAGAAGAATCAATGGATCATGACATCCGAGTGGAGTTACAAGAAACCACAATTCGAGTTATGGGGGTAAACTTTAGTGAATTATTAATCAGGGGAAAGGAAATTAAAGTAAAGGGAATTCGAGTTATTCGAGTTCGATTTAACCGAGTAAAAATGACTGACGGAAAAGTGGGGTTAAATCCAAGGGAGATTGGATATAGTTCGAGTTAGCCGGGAGTTTGAGTTATTCGAGTTCGAGTTAGCGGGGTTCTACCGTATTTGTTTCGTGCACTAAACAAAGCCAATAACACAAACGGTCGAATATCTATTACGGACGGTTTGATTCGGATCAGGATCAGAGATCCGAGATCATTCGAATGAAGATGCATCACGGGAACCGAGGAAACCATGATCCGAGTGGTTTCGGATCACTAATACTCATCCGGATCATCCCAAAAGCACTGACCCTTAGAAAACGAGGAAAATAATCGCTTATGTTCCGACCAAGTTTTTGTCTCAAATAAATATAGTATATTTAAGAAATGGTAAACGTGCAGCGTGCAACCATGGAGTTATGGATGCACGCGGGAGGTTGCTAAGCACGAAAGACGCATCGCCTCGTGCGACTCTAGCTTCTTAAGCGCTTAGCAAACCTCCCAAGTGCATCCATAACTCCATTGTTGCACAGCTGCAACGTTTACCATTTCTTTTATAACGTAATCAAAAGAGAAAAACATTGTTTTCCATTTGCCTTCAGTTGAGTCATCGGTCGGAGTTCATGTATGCGGCCATTTGCCCGCGCGTAAACAAATTATGTTCTATGTTTTTCAAAAACTTGCCTTTGAGTTTTTCTTTCGCTGAATCAGCCGTTCTCCGTCTTCAGGTAGATTGCAAAACGTTTTTTGTTGTTATTGTGAATGGCATCTGTCTACTTGCTCTTAATATTAGGGTAAAAACTTTGAGGGAAAACTATATCTGCAACTATAAACACCAACTAAAAAGACTCTAAAAAATAAGCTAAAACTAAATAAATGAAATAATTATCAAGCTTATTTATGTGACAATTTTAAAATAAACGTAAAGTACAAATGAGAAAATTTGACAGTAATTCCTTTAGAATAACAGGTAACACTATTCTAAAAAGAAATTAACTAGCTTTGTATCGAAATCTGTCTGGGGAAATCCAGCTATGAAAGTCAACTGAAATTCGCCGACACACAGCCGGCGCTGAAGCTGTTGTTTTTCGACTGTTCCCTGAACGACTGTTATGAATGAACACTGAGGAACAAAATAATACACACAGAAGTTATTTTTTGAAAAATTTATTTGAAAACCCAAATGTTTCTGTACTCAAATGAAATTCGCTTATTCCAGCGTTATGTGCCCGTTTGAACTCAACTAAAATTGTTAATCGATGCGATGAAAACTTCACAACAAAGCTGTCTCGAATTTGAGCGTGTTTCCTAAAATATTTGCTTGAATTTAGCATCAGCTTGACCAAAAAGTCAATAACACAATGGTAATTGATAAATTGACATTTCAAACAGACTTTCTCCTCTATAAAAAAACACACAAAATGTACCATAAATCTTCGCTCGCTCGATTTTCCTCCAGCCGATTCTAGCCGGGAGGAAAATAGTGATTAATTCATCCAGGGCAAATTTGTCGCTTGATCTTTTGTCTTTTTTCCTTCAAAACGACAGCTTAGTATTTTCTTCACCTTCCACTTTTCATTTGTGCATTTCATCGGTGTATTTTACTGTCAGGAGAGGAGATTTGTTGAATTTGCCTAAATTTTACCGCGCTAGCTCAGTTTCTTAGAGTGCACCCACGGGCAAATGGTAGTGGCTAACTGACCAATCAGAGCGCGCGATTTACTTTTGTTATGTTATAAATTAGCTGCGGGCGGCAAGAGGAGCCCGCAGACTATTCTTGGTCAGCCAGTTTTAGTAACGCGCAGTATAACGCTTCCTGAGAAAAAATCTTGTTTGCCTTAGGGTTGATTTCCACTGTCGCGTAGTTTTTACGTGCGTAGGTGCGTAAATTTTACGTTCGCAAATAAAATAGAGGCAGTGTATGAAAGGTCGCTCGTAAGCGTAAAAGTAGAACCTCGCTAGACTTCACATTTAATCTCAACACTTTATATGTTGCCCCTTTTTTGATTAAAATTAACGTGCGTTAACGTGCGTAGCCAAAAACGCGTCAGTGGACGAGTTGGAGAGAAGTCTGGGAACGAGGTTGGGACAACCCTCAGATGGAATTTGAAACGAGTTTGTGCGAGCGGGGTATAACTGAAATATTACCTGATCAGTCCATAATTTTTCGCAAATCAAGCTCAGCAGCATGATAGGTGCTCAAAGGGTATTGTGTTTTTTCATACGTTTGAGTATGGGAAATGCTTTATTTGAATCATGATCACGATACTCAGTCAAGTAACATGACTGATATTCAGTGTTAGTAATGACTTAAGACAAGAGCCAAACAGCAGGCAAATTTTCCAAAGCTGGCTTCATGTTCAGTCTTAAAATATAAGATGAATTGGATAACAACATAAAGTATTGCCAGAAAGCTAGTGATAAACTCCAACAATTAAAATCCAAGTCTTGGATTTTGATTTCTCTCGATTTTGAATAGATTTGTTTCTAAGCCAGAAAACGTACGTACTTTTGAATTACAACTGTCGCCTTTGTTACGTGCGTAGAGGTCACTCGCTGGTTATAAAGCATCCGCCAAAACGTTTATTAACGTGCACCTATCGAGGATCTTGATAAGGCTTGATCAATTTCATGTCACATGCATGATCAATGATCATCATCAATTAGTTTATTTTCGACTGTTTTTCGTGAGTCAAAAATAAAATAAAAACCATTCTTACTGAGAGCAAATTCAGTTTATCTTATTATTTTGAAACCTTTAGTTACAACGCAGTGGTTCTCCTCTAATTTCTTTAAACTCATATAACACAGAACTCAAACACGTGTTTGCAAGGAGCCCCTAAACGTAACGGCGTCAATGGACATAATGGGTTACCAGGCCGCGACGGCCAAGATGGGGCGAAAGGTGAAAAGGGCGTGACAGGCCCCCCCTGGATCACGTGGTGAGAAGGGAGAAAGAGGACCAAGTGGAACAGACATTGATCACCGGAACTGGAAACAGAGCGCATGGAGGAGTAGCGATAGTCGTGATATTGGACTGATCAAGGTTTGTTGATTTCACAGGGATCAATGCTTCTAAAAGCCCTCTGGGCGAAAAGAACATTTAACACTAAGTGAACTTGGTTTTTTTCCGTTACTGTGTCATGTGGTTCCTTTAGACAAATCCTTAGTTTGCGTGTCTACCAAGGATAGCACATACATCTATTTCTAAGTCTGTTCTCTTTTGAACAGACATAGAAATAATCGTTGTTTCTATTGCTGCGGGATTGTCAGTTTACTAAAACCAATGATGACACTGTTCTCCGTGTTATTTACCAAGGAAAAGTAAACGTGGGAGGTTGTAACGACTGCTGCTAGCGATGGTTCATCACTTTCAATAGCGCCAAGTGTAGTGGTCCCATGCCTATTGACGTAGTGCTGTGGATCCGAAATAAGGACGACCAGAGACCAGGATTCATTGAGGGCTACTGTAACAACATACACAAGAGTAAAATCCGAGTTGGAATCAATATTGGAAATTATGCAGGATATGGAAATTCTGATGGTAACACAGGCTGGAATTCAGTGTCCTGTTTGATCATTGAAGAAGTCCCTCGGTCCCAGTAACAAGTTGGCACCCTTCACGTGGTTATTAGTTGTATGACGCTTAAAGATTCTGCAGATAAGTGATTTCAAAGTGGAAAAGAACTAAGAATTAAGGGCGTCCTTCTTTAACCACGCTCCTTCTCACAGAACTTGACTCTTGAGAACTACGACTCTTGTGGTACGTTAAAGAACCCCAAGGGATGCAACAAGCTCTGTCAGTTGCTCGGTCTAGTGTATATGTAAGTGTCATGGGGTTGTAGGCAAGGGTATAGAGGATTACCTTGCATGAGAAACATAATTAGCATTCAATCGGTTAATGGTTTAAGTTATGCGTGATCGCATAGCCTGATATAAACACCAAAAGGGTGACGCAAACCCGCGACGGACTCTAATGCAAACACGCCTCTCAGCCAATCAGAGCACGCGTATAAATGGATATATAAACTCCTTGAGATACAGCGAAAAGGTTGCGAGGTAAGGCCTTGGACATAAACTGCAAACCGGTCGACTGAACTCATACTTGCCTTTTACTAAACAAAGCGAAAAAAATTGAAACACTGCGTATTTATCGTGAAGGATCGTCTGGTCATGACTAAATACCAGGAAAATTTCATAGTAATTATTTTAAAAACTGTAACTTGACCTTTGTTTTTCTTCAAAGTTGGTTAACCAAAAGCAAACCTTTGGTTTTTTTTTTGGTTTTTTTTTTTTAAACTCCCCACTCTTTCTCGATAACTGAGGCTACTAATTTCACATGGTTTCTGGAGAAGTACAGGAACGGTCTTCAATATACTCTTCAATCGGCCTTGTAATTTATTTCCATTTTTTATAACGAATGTGTTGTATTAACAATCCTGGTTCATCCAATCGCGCAGTGCAGGGTATTGATGAATTGCATTGATATATGATTTTTGCCCATTTTTCCACCAACTGAAATTCGTTAAGGGGCTATTTTCCCATTTTAATTTGTAAAAAAGGCGAAAACTAATCTCATACCCAGGTCTTTCAGCATAAGACAGAGTGAGACCTGAGTACGAGATAAGGCACACATTGTTTTCAATAACAGGAGTGCTTATTCTCTCCAACTGCTCGATGTCCTGATCACGTAAACTGCGAGGCTTCTGAAGGGGGAAATGAGAAGAAAGGCGCCCAAAGAAAAGGGACGCTCTTTATGTACCTGCGCGCATCAATTCCCACAGTTCCCTTCCCTCCTAACGCCTTCCCCGTGCACGTAGGCTTCAAATCACGTTAAACTACGAGCTAGTTAACCAACACCTGATTCGCTAGACATGTAAAAAAATGGTTGGAATATTGCGTGTAAGGTTTTATCGCCAACAAAAACGATCAAAATACCCAAAATTAAACACTGTTGTCAATAAAAACACAGTTCTTCCGCTCTTTTGGTGGATGATGTCTTAGTAGATTACTGAATACAGTAAGTCGACCAAAAAAATACTAGATGTTAACTTTAGCGTTTTAGTCAGTAATCCATCATTCTCTTTCCTGAAAACGTGCGTTGGCTATCAACGTGCGTCAGCTCAGCTTAAGTCAAACTTTTGAGCCATGCGCATGGTGTTATAACAACTCGGCCTCTTCCACCTCTGTTTAAGGAAGATTAAGAGATTAAGCTGTGATCAAGTTACCGTACGTGCTTCTCTTCACAACACGTAGCTTTCGTTGAAATCGATCGACCGTGAATATCATTTAGTACATCTCACGGTGCAAAACATTTAATTACACAACTGTATTGTATTTCTATAATATCATTGACACTTCTACTAAACAAAGCGAACGAAGTCAAAATATGGCAGATTTATCGTGTGGTTATGATCGCAAACAAGAAAAAATTCGCAGTAATTAATTCACCGAAATGCTACTTGGCCTTTGTTTTTCATCGTGGTTCAGTTGACCAAACAAAACCTTTTTAACTCAGTTTTCTATCCATTTCATTTTTTCGCGATAACTAAAGGCTATCTATTTCATGTTTCATGAGGCGTTCACGAACTGCGAACATTATTTGTAACCGCTGTAGTTACTCTTCAATGAGGTAAGTGAACAATGCACACTGTGATTAATAGTTCGATTACAGACTAGTGTAGTAAGGTCAATCCTGCATGTGTATTCAAATCATGCTTCAGTACGGTGTATTGATAAATTGTATTGACAGGAATGCCTTCCTGCTCACTTTCCCTTCAACAAATGACGTGCTGATATCATCGAGACAGCTAGACTTAATCGACAGATTTCCTAGAAGAAACATCGCGTTTGAGTCACAACTTCCACAACGGGAGCCACCTTCGTTAATTCCTATAGTGCCAAAATCATGAGTGTTAATAAACGCGTACAGCTCGAACCCTGAACTTAAGAAAATTAAGGAATCGATTCATAGGCTACTTGTACCCCTCAATTCAACAGCTGTTGTCCAGAGAGTGGATGAGGTGATGTATTTGCTGTTCAATGGTCATTCTGTGCAATAACGACAACAGGCTTACTATCTTCTGTTTGTGTTGCTTCGATTATTAACAATTTCCCCAGAAGCAACATTCCTTTGAATAGATCAAAACGCTGAGAAACAGGACCACGATGTTGAAGATTATTTAGCGTGTGCTTTGCAGTCCGCAATTTACATGCTTGGGGCAAGCATCCGTGACTTGAGGCCTCGGAAACTGATCCACGAAGAAAGATTATTGCCCAAATCAACGATAAGAAAAAATAGAGTTCACTTTCGGCCAGTTTTGATTACCTTTCTGAGAAAACATGTAACCATTTCATGACGAAAACTCTATTTGGGGGCTAGATTTCACTTTCTGCGCTCAGGAAAAGTTGAATATTGAAATAACTTAAGGTTGAACGAAGAAAAAATTGTTTTACCTATTGGTAAGCCCCCGCTGGTCACTCATTCAGCCGCACTTTTAACGACTCTGCCAGCATTAAAACAGTCTAAAGTTGTAAGAATGCTCGTCTGGTTTTTTAGTTTGCCTGAACGGAAGCTTCAAAGCCATGAAGCAATAAGGATCTGCAATACATAGCAAATAATAATATACAGGGCCTCTTTTTTTAGCCTGAGGGGCGGCTGTACACAGGCTATCTTTTTTAAGTATATTTTTATCAGACAGTGAAATGGCGCTGTTTGAAATACAATAGCAAATTATACTGTCACGGCTTTTATAAGTAAAGAAAACTCCCTAAAACACCATAACAAAATCAAATGTTGGAAAATTTGGGTTCACCTTAATGAATTGTCTAAGTCCTTGCTCAAATAGACATTGTCATGGTTTTCGACGCCATCTTGACGAGTAGGCAAACGTGTGAGAAATTACAGTGGTTGTATGAGAATCTAATATCGAATGATTTCCGTAAAACGGCTGTTCTGAAAAAAATATGACTTGTAAACTAAAGCTACAAAACGAAGGATTGTATTTAAAATTTTTTGGGGCGTACCTGTGCTTAAATTTCTCTCGAGGCTTGCTTTAGATTTTCCATATATTTGTGTCTAATTTTTCCCAGGACTTTCTTACAGACAAATGTATAGAAAATTTTAAAAAGTGGTTCTAGGTCTTCTAGCGCATCTAACGCCCTCAATTTTTTTCGGTAGATTCCTTAGGAGTGAAGCTTTAGCTTACAAATCATATTTTTTTCAGAACCGCCATTCTACGGAAATTAATCGACATTAGGTTCTCATACAAACACTGTAATTTCTCACGCGTTTGCCCACTCGTCAAGATGGCGTGAAAAGGTCTATTTAAACGTTTATTAACAATTTTATTCTGGTGACAAAGCGACAAAACCTGCTCAAGAGCTTGAATTTCGTGGAATACGAACATTTATTTTAAGTTCACTAATTTAATTTTGCTCGCCTGGCTTTAATCGAGATTTATCGAGCAAAGATTTTTTTCATACTTGAAACGTTCAATAATCATGATCGTACACACTTATCCTCCTGCTCGCTGTTATTGCAGTAAGTCGTTCAAGGTCAGTAAACGTGGCAGTCGGTCAGCGCATGCCATTGTGTTCACACAACAAGAAAAATTTCGTTAAAATTAATTCAAAAAGTGAACTTTTACCCTTCGTCTCCAACTTCACACAAGACAGAACACCACAAGACTTGTGCAGTTGGAGTTCAACGCACGCTCTCCTCAGTTCGTAACTTGTTTTCCGTTTTTCTTGTACCCTCAAGATGAAAGAAGGAAATCTATTTGTTTGGTGTTTACTTTTTCTGTCGATGTCGTCCACCGCTTTCGCTAAGGTAAGATAAATCAGCGCACAGAATTGACTTTTCTTAAGCTATGCAAAAAAGAGCGAAGAGCGAATCTGATTGAAACACGTTTTAAGTTGTCGAGTCTGTTAGTCGTAAAGGCTTACAAAACGTAGCAGCGAGATTTTTCCATGCATCAGCGTAAGTGGAAACGAAAATTTCAGATTTGAAATACTTTTTAGATTAGGACTACGTGTTGACCTTTTATTTTCTTAAATTCATATTTTATAAAGAGAGTTTGAAAACACAGCTTCCAAATTATAATTAGCACGCCTGTCTTGCGCTCAAAGAACGCCTTTTGTGTCAATCAAGTCTGTCCACGAACGGATTTTTTACAAAACGCACATCTCTTGTGCTAATGTCACTTTTTCGAGAGAGAACAAGAGAGAATGATGACTCTAAGAATCTATAAAAGGCAGATGATTGGCTGAGCTTCTTCTATACTTAATGTCAGTCATTTATTACTGACCTGAACCCAAATTTTGCTTAAAAAAAAAAGAAGGTACAACTGAATATACTATTATTTTTGAACATTTATGTAACACAGAACTCAAACACGTGCTTGCAAGGATCCCCTGGCCTCCCCGGACGTAACGGAGTAAATGGACACAACGGGTCACCAGGCCGCGACGGCCGAGATGGTGCTAAAGGTAAAAAGGGTGTGGCTGGCGCCCCTGGATCACGTGGTGCGAAGGGAGAAATGGGAGCAAGTGGAACAGACACTGATCACAGGAACTGGAAACAGTGCGCGTGGAAGAGTTACGATGGTCGTGATATCGGACTAATCAAGGCTTGTTAATTTATCTGTGATCAAGGCTATAGTTCAGTTAGCATAACAAATAATCGTCATATAAAAATATCACCCCAGCCTTTGTGCTTCACCTGCCTTTTTAGTTATTGTTGAACCTTGTCCATGCAGTGTTATATCCGCATAGGATAAAATTAGGTTATTAAAATGAAATGTAGGGTGTATGATGGGCTCCTGATAATGACAATTTCCCTGAAAATAATTGTAACTGATTTGTCGTCGCAGGATTGTCAGTTCACTAAAACCAAGGATGACACAGCTCTCCGTGTTGTTTACCAGGGAAACCTCTATTTGGAAGGGTGTGCTAACTGCTGCAAGAGATGGTTCATCACTTTCAATGGCGCCGAGTGCAGTGGTCCCCTGCCTATTGACGCAGTGCTGTGGATCCGAAATAAAGACGAAGACAACCACAGACCCGGGTTCATTGAGGGCTACTGTAACAACATACACAAGGGCAAAATCCGAGTTGGAATCAATATTGGAAATTGTGCAGGATATGGAAACTCCAATGGCAACACAGGCTGGAATTCAGTGTCCCGTTTGATCATTGAAGAAGTTCCTCGGTCCCAGTAACAAGTTGAAAAGCGTCACGTGTTTATTAATGACGTAATTAAGGGCTCTAAAGGCTCATGTAAAGCAGTTCAGCTTCAAAACCACAATAAACTCTGCACGTGACTACTGATGTATGAATATGTCATTTTTGTATAAGAACCTATCCAGTTTAAGGTTACTAGATATGCGCCCTTTCTCACGTTTATTAAATAAGTGTCCACCCCTAAGACATTAAGTTTTTTTTCAAGAGTCCATCCTTTATAAAATAGGTATCCACCCTCAAGGTTTTCCAGTAAGCGCCCATCCTTAAGGATGTTAAATATATGCCCTTCTTTAAGGATATGTAATTTTCATGTAATAGGCTATTTCCGAATTCCAGATATGCTCACTCTCAAAACGAGGTTGAGTGCAAACCTTTCTTGTGAAAATAAGTCTTATTTGCATGAGACTTAAAAATCATTTTCATATGAATAGCTTCGCACTTAGCCTCGCTTTGAAGCAGAGACTTGGGCAACTCGGTCACCATCACATAGACCATAATGCACCTTGTATATATACCTGGGTTTTTGAAAACCGGGTTAGCAAAAGTATCAACTCATTCTACTTTTTAGCAATTTCAAACAATAAAACTCATTCAAAGGCGGATTAAAAGCCTTTATCTGACGCCGGGCAATAAGTTAATGGTCCCTAGAAGCACTCCAACGAGTCCAAATTTAAAATAACGCAAATTTTAGGACATTTATTCAGTAATCTGACTTCGCGAAGTTTCAGACTGGTGTCATTTCAGTCTAAAAATTTTTAAGTTGAGTGAACTGCAGTGAAAGAGTGCATGGTTAAGGCTTACATAACAACTTAAATAGTTAGCAAAACACTACTTTTCTCGCGGTCCGACAAACAACAGGATTCCGCATGAAATAGACAACAAACTGAATGAAACATAAGTGAACAAATTATCACCTTCTTATCTGGAAAAACCGGCCTTTGGTTCAATGCCATTAGAGCCCGCTGAAACGAGACCTACAATAGATCCAATTTTTCTGAGTCGAGAGTTGCCTTTCCAAGGTACAATCAGCTAAGCTAAACACCGACGAAATGATATTAATGGCTGGCACAGAATATTTTGGCGAAACTGCAATTCAACCACGTGATCACATACCTGTCAACACCATGCGGAAATCACACAATCACACACATTCGCGGCACTGATTAGACTATCCGCGACGACGCATAATCTTCTCACCTTTGAAATAAGCGAAATATCATCGAATAACTCGGAAAAACTCAGCCCATTGGCAGATAAACACCTCTGGACTTTTCTCTTACACAGCCGTCTTATTCAAGTTCTCGGATGTAGACTCACACGGTCGGCGGACCACCTTAGTCTTGTTTTCACACCAAGTCAAAGTTCACCTGCAATCTTGCTGTCACCTGATTCGTTTGACTCCTAAGAGCCTGTTCCCGAGTCCCGAGGCCAAAGACTTAGTGGTCACCTTAGAAAAGCGAACTCAGCCCGGGCTCAGCCCGGACCAGGGTGATTGATCCGTTTAGCCAAATAAAACGAGAATTGAACCCCCCCCCCCCCCAAAAAAAAGGAAGAAGAAGAAGACAAGCCCTTTAAAGCTTCAGTTCTCCTCTCCTCTCGTAGTTTTTTTTTTCGCGCAGTAGCCTAATAAATAACAAGTAATTAAAGGTCATCCATCAGAGAAGGGTAACCTTTTACCATGATATGGCTGCGGACCCACTAAACAGTGTTTTGCACTCCTTTGACAGCTGTCGGTTTAATTTGGGGTATTTGAATGTTTCATGTTAGCGATAGAACCGGACACGCAAGATTTCCACAATTTTTACACTATAGCCAATCAGATTTTAGTAATATAGCCCGTTAATTGGTGGTTTAACGTGATTTGTTGCCTGAGTGCACGTGACAGGCGTTTGAATGGTAGGGAACTGGCCGGGAACTGGCCGGGAAAATTGATGTGTGCGAGTAAATAAAGGGTGTATTTCTTCCTTGCCACCTTTCTTCGCATTTTCCCCTTCAAAGGCCTAGCGTGCAGGTTACGCGACCAGGACATCGAGCAATCGTAGAGAATAAGAGCCCACTGAGCAAATTAAACAAAGCGTTAAATGGAACTGGTGTGATAACAAGAAAACGAACAGTATCATTAAAGGCCTTACCACAAGACAGAACGCGGACATACAGTTCACCAAGGAGATCGAAGAAAATGGTAAGATACCTTTCCTAGACTGCTTGGTCACTCGCGACAACAACAGACTACGAACGACTGTTTACAGAAAACCGACACATGCCGAGCGATTACTAGACCAGTCATCGTACAACCCGGACTTTGACGAGACGAGCGCAACTAGTTTGCGACTCACCTGACACCCTACAAGACGAGACTGACAACCTAAACAACGTTTTTAGTATATAAAAAACAACTACAGCACGGATTTTTTTAGACGGAACATTCACAGTAACACTAATTCAGACCAACGTGAACTCTGGCCCTGTTACGACAGCGACTATACCGTACATCAGACGCACCTCTGAAACTATCGCACGTATACTATATAACCTTACAAAATACGTGTTGCACACAAACCGATAACCACTTTAAGACGACTGCTTACTAACAGACAGGGAGCAGTATACAAGATCAAATGCTGCGACTGCCAGACTACTTACATTGGCGAAACTGACCGAACACAAACGAGCGACGAGAAATGATGACGTCAACAATCACATTGCTGACCACCATTTACAGACGAAACATCAAATCGACTGGGACTCTGCGACATGTGTTACGTATTCTACAGACTCCTAACAACGACTTACTTTAGAAAGCTGGTTTACTAACTTAGAACAAACGTCACTGAATGGTAGCCAACAGTTACTAGCACCGTACGAGATCAAGCAAAACTAAATTTGACTAACAATAGACGACTGTTTAACTGCGACAATAGACGGATCAAAACACACCAATTACTGATTACGAGTCTTCATAGCCAATAATATCACGGCTTAACTGACAGACGACCAAAAACACAGTGACGTATTTGACAAATCAGATCAATAACCAAAGTATAATATCATCAACTGACGTGATACAACTCACTTTGACTCTGAAGATAACTAGTTACTGAGACTACAAAGAATAACGAAAGCGCATTGTTCTTATAACGAATTTGCATTAAATGTTTCGGGCCGGCAACGTTTTGTTTCTGGTGGATTTTCACATTTATTCTTATCGTGACGACAAAAAAAACATATTTGGCAATGAATAATTGACAAAGGTCACTTCCGTGACTTTTCAAAGCCGCATATTCTCTCAAAACACTTGATTACAACAGTACATCGTATAATATTATTCAAAAACAAGAAAAATTTCACATAAATTAATTCAGAAATGATTTTTTGCCTCATGTTTTTTCTGTCATAGTTTTTTGACCAAAACCAAAATGTTTCCCTGAACCTTCGGTTTCATTTATAACTTTTAGCGAAAAATGTTAAGCAGTTTATTCAGTTGTTTCGCAGTGATGGAAGAGGAGCTCGCTAGATTCTGATAAGCTAAGCTTATAATCGGCAACGCAATGTGAAGCTTTTGTTCACTATATACACGCGACAAATACCGTTAATTATACCACGGTAAATCAGTTAATCCTACCACATGCTTTTTGGCGAATTTTCCTATTACGTGAAGTCCTATACAGTAACAAAATATGAGAGTCATGCAGTGAGAGAAGAAAACTCAACGCATACTTTGTTCTAGCTAGTTGTGCGCTAAATTTATGGTAGAAATAAACATATTAGCCGAAAGTAAACCGCAAATAGGCAGAGCTGCGAAAGCTCAATGCGGTAGAGCAGGTGAAAAGATAGTTGTGAGAGGGGCATGAAAATCAAGTATTAAAGAAGCGGAAGAAGGAGGACGACGCACTTGACGACTATATCGATTCATGGTTGAATGAGCCAGTTTCAAGCGCTGTTTTCCTTTTTGGAAGATGGCTTCTCAGTTCGACTCAGTGCACAACCATCAATTTTTATGTTCTGTTTACAATTCAAAGAAGCATCAGTGCTTTTTGCACGAGCATTAATCTGCTTTTCGGTCATCAAAGAGAGCTTAGCTGGTTATAATACTTTGTTCTCTAAAATGAAACTCTTGCTGGAGCTTGACACTTGGGAGTGTGTTCATCGTTATTCGTGTAGCGTTATATGAGAAAACACTAGCAAACAAAAATGTTCGCAAAATAAAGATTGTACTATAACATGATTTCAACAAATGCTACGGTCTATCATTTAAACCAGCTGGCCTCATCTTTCTATTATGCTGCGAGTATGGGATAGCATCCGGGCAATCTAACATTAAAGCTATGTTCATACCATACCGGACAGCTTTTCGTGGCACCACGAAAAGTTATCTGATATAGTATGAACACCTATCACATATGCGACTCTCCACTTTAAAGATAGGCGCTGCGCAGCTTCGTTCCGTCACAGAAATCTCGCCGCCACAACCATAAGAAACACTATCATGCTAAGATATATAATAAAATTTCAATACCACGCAAAATTGAAGAACACTGGCCAAATGAGGAAGAAGTAAATTTACCTCTCACCAGTTTTGTTAACGTCCCGTGGTGTTTAGCGACGTTTTACCGAGAAGATCCCATTCCGCTCTTACTGAGAATACAAAAAAAGCTGAAAGGGGAAAAGTTTTACAAAACTCTATTGGCAAGTTCTATCTTCATATGCGCGTTTTGATTATTCTCGGATCGTTCTCTGGTGCGTGGGTAGGAGACAAAAAGTTCAGTATTTTGGGATACAGCTTTGCTGAGAGTTTTATTATGACCCTGCATGGCTGGTTTTGGCGGCAAAACCACCCATGATTCGTCCTGCCCCTTTGCCAAAACTTTGCTCGAACTAAATAACGATCCTGCCGGCTACGTGGGCTAAAATTCTTTCGAATTCTTAGAAAATTATCAAACAGTAGTTGACGTTTGTTACCAATCTGGCAACTTGACTGGAATTCGCATAACAATATGCTGTACTTCTCCAGTTAAAAAGGAAAAAAAAGAAACGTGTTTTTCTCAATCGCGTCGACAGTTTATTGCAAATAAAAGATAAGAAACTAAAATCGAGCGCTTTTAAGTATTTCTCTAACAAGTAATGAGCGACAGCCTTTGTCAAAAGGCTACCTGGGTTTCAGTATTTTCCTCAGTTCCCCTCACTAGTATACTGTGTTTCTTTCTTTCTGTGTGCCTTTTTTTTTGGACCAAAGGCGCACGCTGCTACATGGGACGGAAGAATTTAATATATAAAAACAAAACTTGTATATCTTAATCCTAAGGTTCATGCAGGGTAAGAAAAGCAACTTGGCACTAACAAAAATTTTTTTCGTTCGGCAACATTTACGAAACAGTATACAATAAATTTTCCAGCTCTTCTAATCGAGACAAACTCTTTTTCAAATTCAATTGATCCACTTACCTTTCATACGCCTTTCCCTGCTGTTATTTTTATAAGGTTAGTAAACGTGGCAGTCTATCGGAGCCTACTATTGTCTTCATCCAACAACAAGAAAATTTTCGTTTAAATTAATTCAAACAGTAAAAATTTTATTCTCATCATTTAACTGCACTTGAAACCGTAAACCAAAACTTTGCTGGAGTTTGATACTCGATTTTGTCAGTCCGCAACGTATTTCCGACTTTCTTTTTATCTCAACATGGAAGGAAGAAATGTTGCCGTTTGCTTTCTATTTTACCTCTTGATATCTTCGCAATGCTCTTTTGATAACGCCTCCTCTGTCGCCACGGTAAGACTTCTAAGTAAACAAGAAAATTTGCTTTCTTTGAACAACGCAAAAATTGTATTGCCAACAAATTAAAGCAATTAGTTTTCAGTTGTTGAATTTGAAAGTGTTTTAGAGGAGAAAACAAAGAGCTTCTTTTAGAACTATTTAAATGTTTTATCCAAAGCAGCGGAGAACCAAGCTGGCTTCATGTTTATGCTTAATTTAATATTAAATATTGCCAGGCTTTCACTAGATTTTGAAATGATTTGTTTGTAAATACTGGGAAAACCTAGTTTCTAATTACAACTAACACTCGCGCTACGCCTGCGGCAGACAGAGGAGCTAGGCATTATCCACCATTATTCACGAGAGGGTTTATTTTGAAAACGCGCACTCCTCGCGTGAGTAAAGCCTTACCTAGAGAGAATGATAATGAACTTCGAGGATCTTAAAAAAGGCTTCATCAAGTCTGTGTCATATGTATGGTCAATTTGTTTATTTTCTACTATGGCAGTCCGGAGTGCAAATAAAATAATGACGATTCTCACTGAAAGCAAATTCAGTTAATATTTTACGACCGTCAAGATAAAAAAATGTTTCCTCTACTAATTTCTACTATGAAACAGAACCCTAACACCTGCTTGCAAGGATCACCTGGCCTCCCTGGACGCAACGGAGTTAATGGACATAATGGGTTACCAGGCCGCGACGGCCGAGATGGAGCTAAAGGTGAAAAGGGCGTGGCAGGAACTCCTGGATCCCGTGGTGAGAAGGGAGAAAGGGGATCAAGTGGAACAGACACTGATCACAGAAACTGGAAACAGTGCGCGTGGAAGAACTACGACGGGCGTGACATTGGAATGATCAAGGTTTGTGGATTCTAAAATTAGTGTAATGAACGGCTACAGTCAACTTTGGTAAGGTTAGATACTAAGATTGTGCTTTTAAAAAGGGTGGAAATTTACTGTCCATTGATATCATTACGGGATGAAAAAGGTTCCCTTAAACAGACATGTAAATAAATAATTTAGTTTTATTTGTTTTTGCAGGATTGTCAGATCATTAAGACCAAGGATGACACTGCTCTCCGTGCTGTTTACCAGGGAAACTTCCATTTGGGAGGGTGTGGCAGCTGCTGCAAGAGATGGTTCATCACTTTTAACGGCGCCGAGTGCAGTGCTCCTCTGCCTATTGACGCAGTGCTGTGGATCGGAAATACTGGGGAAAACAACCACAGACCCGGGTTCATTGAGGGCTACTGTAACAACATACACAAGGGCAAAATCCGAGTTGGAATCAATATTGGAAATTGTGCAGGATATGGAAACTCCAATGGCAACACAGGCTGGAATTCAGTGTCCCGTTTGATCGTTGAAGAAGTTCCTCGCTCTCAATAGCAAGCTAGTCGGAAACCATCCCGTGATTTTTTGTATTGTTGCCCTAACATTTTGCGGACTAGTGGTTAAAGTAATCTTAAATTGCATATAAACCAGGTCAATTTAAAACTCGTAATATGTCAAGCATGTCACTATGAAGGGATGAAGGTGCCTTTTATGTTAAATAAACATTAAAACGTTGATATTGTCTACTCTTTTATCGCGATGAAGTTTTTAAAATCTTGTTACCACTCGACTTCTATTTTCAGTGTAGTGAAGTTGTGAAGTCTGGGGTTGGGCTTATTGAAAAGTAACTTTTTTTCTTGAAATCGAAAAAGAGAGCCAGTCGTACAGTTGAAGAAATATTTAACCCTTTGAAGATCGAGGTTGCCATGCAGGAAAAACCAGCTCTTAAAGCGTAGGTTTTGATCGTTCGATGTTAATTGGAGGTAACATTATAATTTTGAAGCCTTCATTCAGAGGGATTCAAAAGAACTTGATTTCTTTAAAAAAGCGACTAGAATCGATATATTCACTCTACTATTTGAAACCTTACAATCTGATCGCAAAAGGTATGCCTTCAGCCAAAATATGGAAAACCAATTTTAGGTGACTGGCCCAATCTCAGTCCCAATGGGTATTCCGCAGTAACCGTTCCCGTCGTTTACGTCCTGAACTATGTAATAACCGTCTTTATTCGAAAACAAACAAACAATATCAAACGACTACGGTCTCCAGAATAATTGATTTTTCAAAAGTAGCTCACACACCATCTGCGTTACTCGTAACTGAGATAATAACCTTCCGTGTTTCCAGAAGAAAATTAAAAGGAAGACAGCTGAGTGAACGAAAATGTCCTCAAAAATTTTTTTGTATGGGATAAAAAAGAACTAGTTTGTTTTTAAGCACAAAAATTCGGCGCTGAATTAAATCATCAACATTAACACAATAAATGCGGCAGGAAATACGACTAGCAGAATTACATTAGTGCGTTTTATCAAGCATTTGTCACATACACCGATCGATAACGATCGATAACCAACCAAAGAGTTTATTGACAACCAAATGAATAGTTGGCACTGTTCTTAAATTAGGTCAGCTAACCAAGAACTATGACATCGTTGATCTACAAAGCTCAATACCGTGTCGAACCGTTTATACTTGCCACAACTTAAGAATAGAATGTCAAATCAACCTGTCTTAATGAGATGCCTATTCATCGGTGATAATGTACTCCTTTCAATCTTCAGGAGATCCCTGCCTAAAAACTGGCTTATTCGGTGGGCCCTATACTACTTTAAAATAAGGTATCATCGCGTCTCATCGCAAAGTAGGTGGAAACCGGCCTGTTTCCACAGGAGTCCGGATAAATCGGATAGATCACCGATCGAGATATAAGTTCTCTACAATCTGCCTTTTCTGCACCATGCCATAGGCATAACTGCAACCATATTATGGAAACGTTTGTGCATATGTTTTGTCACACCATAGGCGTACAGGTCGGGGGGCGAGGGGAGCTGCAGCCCCCCCAAATTTTGGGCAACTCAGACTTTTTGGGCAGCAAGAGAACATTTGGGCAAAGCCAGGTTTTTAAGACGTTTCCATGTTTTTTTATTAGTCTAAAGAGACAAATATTTTCTATTTTAATCTGAAAAAATCCTGAAGTCAGCGTAATAATCCAGTTACTTTCTCTCGAGACACTCACAGTGGTTTCCTAGCACGTGATGAGTTTCTGGTTATAGGGAAGGGTATCATTTGTGATTTACATAGTTATAGTTTTTATTGTTGAGCACTGTACTGCACTGCACTGACTGAAATGGGCTCTTTCCAGTCGTGAATTGATTAGAATAAACTTCCGCATATCTTTCTAGAATCATCTCCGCTAGTAGAACAGGGTATGGCAGATAACATCAGCAACAGTGGGTCTGAAAATGAAGAAGTGGCTGACTAGTAATCCGCTCGAATTACGAGAAGAATATTAAATTTTTTTAAAAGTCTATCAAGCAATAGTTCATTAAAGTAGACCGAAATGTTTACAAAACCGCTAACAAGATCACCTCGATACATACTAATGAAATCCTTGTCTCTAGCAATCGGCCGGAGCCATCTCCATGATCATATCTTTTACACACGTTTTTAAAAAGATTGAAGCTACCATGAGGTGAAATTGCATGTCAAAAGAGCTTCGTTTTCTACAAATAACGGCCAAACATCAAGACTTTTTTTACCATATTTATAACGATAAAAACTTCATCCCAAAATATCCCAATAACACTCCTATAGATTCCGTTTTAACTTCACGAACATCAAGGCGACTATTGGAGAAAAAAGCTCTCGTGAACAATTTTGTAGGAACAGTTCCCAGAGCCGACAAATATTTCTGCAAGTAAAATAGACAATGTCGTCATTTCGTTGCTATGACAATTGGGATGTCATGAAAACCCTGCTCATGATAAATTTTCATCTTTATCTGATAAAACTATGGTAGCAATTTTTCCAAATGTTTGTCTATGGAGACGTAGTTATTCGCAAAATTGGGAGGTATTGACCCTGAAAAACTGTCATAGTATCGAGCCACCTTCATATGCCAGTACGGCCTACGTTATTGCATCGTACGGCCCTCGTTTCTTTTCTACTGTTTCGTAAAAATTTGGGCAACTTGCGAGAATTTTTTGGGCAAATGGTTTAAAACTGATTTTGGTCCGTTTTTGGGGTCACAAAAAGCAGGCCATTGTGCCAGGCGCTCCTTGTGGAGTCCGTGGAAACTGGGACTAAGAATCGTTGCGTGATTGAAGCCACGCATGTTTTGCGAAGAAAGCTTAAGAAAGATTGAATTTAGGAGTTAATGGACATAATGGGTTACCAGGCCGCGACGGCCGAGATGGAGCTAAAGGTGAAAAGGGCGTGGCAGGTCCTCCTGGACCACGTGGTGAGAAGGGGACCAAGTGGAACAGACACCGATCACAGAAACTGGAAACAGTGCGCGTGGAGGTACTACGACGGGCGTGACATTGGACTGATTAAGGTTTGTCGATTCTGAAATTAGTGCGATGAACGACTACAGTCAACGTTGGGTTGGTTAGATGATAATTATAGCGGAGGTCTCGCGCGCGAAGAGCGCAAAGCAGAGCACCATGGGTAAGAAAATGTGGTAATCTACCCTTCCGAGAAAATTTGGTAATCACGTGACCGTACGCCCGACCGTCCGTCCGCACCACAGGCATACCAATGTTAAATAATTCAATCAACAGGTATGGCAACCCAAATGCAACTCGAGGTTATTTTGGCGGGAAATCGCATAGCCACCCACGTCTTTTAAAGCAGAGGCAGCTATAGAGTCAATAAAGACGAAACCGGAAAGTGGAAATTGTTACTATATCTATGTTTTCTAAAGTATTAAACTTAGATTAATTGTCATGTCCACAAATTTGGAATATAGAGCAAGAGAAAGACAGAGAAAAAGCGGCAGGCCAGCGAAACTCAACGAGAAAAAGGGCGACAGAGATCTAGAGCGAGAGATAAAAAAAGAGAGAGAAAAAAAAACAAAGGAGACATTTTAACATGAAAATTTTGTAGCGGCGGTGACAATGCTAGCGGCCAACCATGCAGGGAGAAAATGAGCGGCAGTGAAAAAAAAGTACGACATTTCCCCCATGAAAAGTATCTGGAAGCTTCACGTTATAGTAGTGCAAAACAACGGCAAAAAGATGTACGAAAAAAGTGTGCTGCACGTGCAAAGTTGCTTTTTTGCTAATTAGACCTTTTTTTTCACCGTTCTGCGGCGTTGCCTTCACGGTTTAGCATTACACGATTTTATATTTTGTTTGAACAAACTATAAATATTATCGAGAGCTTCGCTTTTAGCCCTGGCTAAATCTATATATTAAGGTTGTGAATTTAAATAGGATGGAAAGTTACTGTCCATTGGCAACATTATGAGATGAAAAAGATTCTTTTGAACAGACATGTAAATCAATAATTGAGTTTTAATTTGTTGTTGCAGGATTGTCAGGTCACTAAGACCAAGGATGACACTGCTCTCCGTGTTGTTTACCAGGGAAACTTCTCTTTGGGAGGGTGTGGCAGCTGCTGTAAGCGATGGTTCATCACTTTCAATGGAGCCGAGTGCAGTGGTCCCCTGCCTATTGACGCAGTGCTGTGGATCCGAAATAAAGACGAAGACAACCACAGACCCGGGTTGATTGAGGGCTACTGTAACAAAATACACAAGGGCAAAATCCGAGTTGGAATCAATAATGGCAATTGTGCAGGATATGGGAATTCCACTCGTCAAACAGGCTGGAATTCATTTTCCCGTTTGATCATTGAAGAAGTTCCTCGCTCCCAGTAGCAAGCTAGTTGGAGATTTTTTTTGTATTGTCGCTTAAAAATGGCGGGAATTAGTATTTTAAGTAAAATAAGGGCTTCTTAAAAACATTGCATGAAAACCAGGTCATTTTAAAACTCCTTATATATCAAGTACGTCACTATGATAGTATGAAGATGTCTTTTTATATTTAATAAACATTAAAACGTCGATATTGACTACAATGGCCATATTGTCTACGATGGTAATTGCGACAATATTATGATTCTACGGCTTTCATTCAAAGCGATTCAAAGGAAATTAATTTCTGAAAAAAAGCGACTAGTATTTATTCACTGCGCTATTTTAAACCTTACAATCTGATCCCAAAAGGCATGCTTTCAACCAACTTTTTTTTTCAATATATTTATTCATAATCACATTAAATAATTACATTTACAATACTACAGAAAAAAACACACTTTAACAATAGACATAAACAGAGTAAAGCAAAATTAATTGTTAAATTATTGCACGGCTAAAAGAGATTATAAAAAAGTACAACAGGGCAATTAAATAATACGGAGTTAATACAGTTAACTTAAATAAGGCGTCAGTATCCACTTTCTTTTAAAGAATTCTTTGTTGCTGATTTTTTCTTCTGTTTTATATTTAGCGATGATCTTGGCCCTAAATCCATAAATGTTTGGAAGGA